GGAAACGAAATTTCAGCGCTCATTTTTTAACTTTAATGTGTTGCATGTCGCACCCTAACCTCAAAAACACCAGTCTTCCGTTGAAAAGCACAAGAAAAATAATTTTAAAGCTAAATAAACGACTTTCAATGTGCACCTGGTGGATGTATGCGGAGCCTATTTGGGAGGTAGTTTAGCAACGTTGTGGAAACTGCTACGTAGTCGTGACGCAGCAGTTTCCTTCGGAGCAGCGCCGCCCTTTGGCATTTCAACGTTTTCCTCCTGAACTCACAAATCGCGTATTGTACCAAATAGTCCAAGAAGACGGAAAGGGAGGACTCCTCTCTTTCTCGGACCCTCGTTCGTGCAACCGGAAACAACCATTCTCCCCCTAGAAGATTAGCCCGTCCCTCAAAACTCAAACAAAAGTCGCTTTCCCCACCTCGTTCAGCCCTAAGCTGACAGTGTTGTGGAAGCTACGTGCTCCATGGACCAGCCACACGCCCGTCACACCACGGGTACTGCGAACGGCTCGGTTGTAACGCGCTGACGCTATTAACACCACCACAACGCTGACAACGCCACCAAGGGCAAAGCTCATAACCACGTCTGCTTTGCTACTCCACGAACGCGGTAAGTCTTTTCTTTCTGTTTTTGTTTGCGCCGAATATCCCATGACGCATCGCGCTCTCCGTTCGCTTCTTTTCGAGCGCTTGCTCGAGTGCACCGTTTGGAACGAAAAATATAGCCAATCGCTCAAAATACAAACGTGCTATTATCATTTACGGTTATTATCCGTCATGCTTGACTCATATCCGAACGAAATCTGAATATTTCAATTTATGTTTCCGTACCCCTTTAAAGGAAACATTGTAGGAAATCGCATACCGCCGCCGATACGCCAGATCCCACGTGGTCCGTCAAACAACCAGAGTCCAGCCTGGTTGTTTCACGGGAGCGGGAATTTCGCTCCCTTTTATTTGTTCGGAAAACACAACGCTCAAAAACACTCAATCTAAACTGCAAAGACATGCGACATTACACCGATATTAGCACGTAAAGCCAAAGCTAAACACAAAGAGGGCCCCCAGGCCTCGTCTCCCACGATTACCCGAAATCCGGTCGCACACACTTGCCTGTTCTCGGCACCGCCCAGTCCCCAGAGGCCCTTCTACCCCCGGTCCCCCGTCAATATATCGATGGGCGAGGAGGTTTCTTCTCGCCCATCCTGGGGTGCCTGTGATGCGCTCTAAAGGCATTATAAAAATCAAACTTTTATCTGTTTACTTTGCTCACCTTCTGTGATGCAACACGCCATCACATTCTACTCCGTTTCACCTTGTGTTGTACCGCAGCCGACGATACGAGCCACCGGAGCCAATCCAACTCTTTGTCGCTGCCAGATGACACTGCTCGACGTGCCGTTGCGCCCAACGGACAGGCCACGTGACGCACGTTCGGCACTGGATTGACTCCGATGGCTCGCAGCATTCAGAGTAAAGTGCGGTATTGCATTTTGTGCTCTAGTAACTCACCACTGTCGAACTGCTACGCCAGAAGCACTCAGCAGATTCCACCAACTCTGCCGCCCCTACACTCCATTTACTCCTACGCTGACAGGGCGGAAGGAGCCATGTGGTTGGTGGGCCAAGCTTTTATTGCCTCATGTCCGACCTGCACATCAGTATGAGAAAGGGGCATGATAAGTGATGCAAGACTGACAATCGGCTGGTTCACCGAGCATGTAGCCTCCAGTCTAAAGTTGGTATATAACAGCCTTCTACTGTCCCACTCAGGCATGCCACCCTTGACCAGTCCATGTCGTTGATCTTTAAGCAGGGTTAAGCAATGACTGCCTCGTGCCACCAAACATGAAGGTGTCCACAGAACAAAGCCGCATTTGTGTCAACTCGCACCTTTGAGAAAATTGGTCCTGCCATAACCCACGCCTCGTCGAGGTAGAAAACTTTAGGGCCCTTTATTTCCTGTGTTGTACAATACCCCAATAGGTACCTCTGTTGAAACGGGACTATCTTGACCCCCTCGATCAGAAGCGAGGCCCCTTGCGGCCATTCAGCGCCGTCTACTCATTCATGGATGTTGCTCCTTTCGACAAAATGCCTGTGGCGACAGCTGGAGCTAGTGAAAAAGCGGACACCATAGCTCTTCCCAAAGCACCCTGTTCTTCCTCAAGAGCGGCTAGTTCATCCAGGAACAGTGCAATGGTGCTTGGTGGTCTGTCATCGCAGACCACCATCATAGCCCCACCAACGGCGGCGGCGGCGGCAACTCCCCCGCCCCCCCCACTCAGGTGACAAGCATTTCACTCGCAGGACGTGACTCCAAGCAATACTCACTATGGCTGGCGACAACCCATAAAAGGCATGCGCTGGCCCTTTGACCCACGCGGAGTGCAGTGCAGGAAGTGGAACGGCATCGGTGACCCAGTCGCTGCAGTTACCCAGAACTGTTTTACTGCTTTCTCGGCGAAGGTGCAGGCCCGCTGTTTGATGCATGTAGGTAGAAGCCATCAGCCGCAAGCATCAGACACCTGGGGTGGAAAATTTTGCACCCAACAAAACAATAACCATGAGAAGAGTGGTCTAGCCAGTGAATTGCAAAAACATTAAAGGAAGCACACAAAAACTTGTCTTGCAAAAACACAAAAAGCAGGCACATATAGAAGTATTTCTGTTACCTCGTCTCATGCTCAAGAATTATTTTGGATAGTATACATCAATAATGCCTGTCTCGCAGTGGCTTTCTGAACAAAATGTAGTAGAAAATACAACCAGTTGAATACCAAAAAAGTACAACAGAGAGGCACTTCTTTGTTGTCACTTTAACATGCACATTATGGAAGAGCCCAACTCTTCGCGATTAACCTGTAGCAGAATCGCTTAGCAGTTCTGCTGCAGGTGTGAATGTACCACGAGGCAGAATACAGCATTTGTGCAGAAAACACCATCGCAGGCCTACCAGGATGAACAGTAACATTATTACCCGCCACAAATTCGACGCGCCGGGAGGGAAATTCGCGAAGCCTGATCTGTTTGTAAATCCCGTCTTTCGACAGAACGCTTTTGTGACTGAACGAGCTCGTCAAAAGCTGACATTCCCAACGCGCTTGGTCCTCAAATGCGGCGCAGGCGGCACCCGGGAGCCACATGCCACTCCCGTTGATTATCTCTACTATCTTCTTTGTCCCCGACGCTACGTGAGGTAGCCAAGCGCTATCAAATTCCACCACTGCGGTGTCGCATCGACGATCGAACGCCACCAGAGTAGGTAAATTCCACTCACCTTTTACGTTCCGAACAAGCGTCCCACGGGCCTCCATGTAGCGAGACGGGGCCTGCTAGCTTGCATAAATGCGCTGTGAACTTCACTGCCGACGCTCGTTCCCAAGCATTGAATATCACGACCAACTCCACTCGGCAATACGACGGCACATAACACGACAACGTATAATACAAGAAAGACCGCTGGAACCGACGCGACCGCTCCAAAAAGCACCCAACAAACACTTGGAGAAACAAAAAGTAAAAACAAAAAATAAAATTGAAACAAGCAAAAACGAACAAAACAAAAAAACTTTCGTCACTTCTGGTTTGTGTTGTTTTGCTTGTTTTTGCTTTTTTCTCTCAGCCAATAGGCGTTGCAACCTTACTGCGGCGAAACGCTCGTCTCTTGTCCGCCATGGATGGATGGATGGATGGATGAATACGGCTGAGCCCTTTGGATCGGGCGGTAGTTACGCCACCTAGCCATTTTGTTTTACCATTTAAGCTTAGAATGTTGGATCGATCGGAGCGCCCCCTATATTCGCTGAAACTCCTCAATAACGTCATAGCACACTGACATTAAGGAGCACAAAACGGGCCCAGCTACAGAAAATAAATATTACACTCGTAAGAAATAAATACGTCTGTAACTTGTTAATTACAACGACGAAAACACCTCTGAGCATCTAAGTTTAATAGTATGTGTTGATGAATTGTCATATAGCAGGACATTTCATATACGTCACTTGAGCAAACGCCAGTTTTTCACTTGAAAAACAAACCAAAAAACACTGCGATCAAATGCAAGCTATTGCAACGAAAACAAGTTATATCAAAATCTTCAGAACTGCCATTTCGTAAAATTGGCGATTAGTAAAAAAGATTAAAGATCGCAGGAGCTTCCTCGCTAAAAGTTTGTGATCATGCGGTTACCTGGGGCAAAAACAAATTCTCCAAGGCCCAACATGCGACGCACAGATTTCGCATCGATTCTCAGACACTCCAACGTTCAAATAAAGCTAAGAGAATGCAAAAATTCCATGCTAAATGTCTTATCGATCCTCAAACACATCCGGAAACCCAAGCACCGCTAAGGCAATATTAATATGCTGTCGCACAGGTGCTAATATCCAGAGCGATCTTGCACAGAAAGGGTATAAACTATCATTCTTTCAGATCTTCACGTTATACCTACGTCAGAAAGCACGAAGAAGCCCTAAATCGTCGGCAAGCTGCGGCACAACACGACTAAGGGCACCGAACAAACTCGCATCCACCAGCTCTGGGCGCTGCCATCTTACCGATGACATCACGGCTGTTGAGAGGTCACGTGACGAGTCGTCACTCGGTTGCTACGGAAACCGAGCCAGCTCAGCTCGTTGCTATGGTACCGCGTGTGACCAATCGCGGTGAGAGGCGGCACAGGGAAAAGCGTGGCGCTACTCTGGCAGCTACGCGGCTACGCTGCCATATCGAGTGGCTCTAGGCAGACCGAAAACAAAGCTCTAGACCGGCCGTGGCATAGCATTATCGAGGGACGTTACACACAACCAACGCACACAAACTCGTTGGGTACGTAGACATTTACAGCGCGGAAGCGATTTCACCCGGCAACAATGTTCACCACCGCCGTAATTATAAATGAAAAATGTACTATTAGAGGGCGCAACTAACCCTCCTACTTCAGCGGAGGCTTTGGAGACGTTTCGCCATCCATCCTTCTTTAGACGAAAAAAAAATCATAGAAGGGAAGATAAAACCTCTGTTCAGCCGAGTGCCTCTTCCATGATCCCGACACCAAAATGTCTTATAATTACGTTGTGACTGCCCACAAGCCGACCGGCGTTTGTGCATGCGTTACAGGTCAGCGAAAACGTCATACTAGCCAGCTTGGCGACTGGACGTAATCCCAAAGAATACACGCTTGCGCTTTCACCCGCCACATGGACCTCGCTTCATTATAGCGCTCTCGATCATCTACTCGGATCGAATTCACTGTCATTCACCCTAATAAACGTCTTGAGAGTGTCCGATCTTGTCGTTAAGCGCAGAAAGCTCCCTTTTACCTAAGACCCACCCTGAAAAGTTGCCTGTTATGTTTGTAACTTGACTGCCCTGTTTACGGATTCAACCGGCTGCGTGCCGGTTATTTTGGTGCTCTGCAATTTTGCACTTTTATTGCCTAGCTACGGGGCGCACTTGGTCGTCGAATTGCTCGTACCCGGAGCGGTTGATAGTAGAAAACCAACAGAAACTTTAATCGCTGACAGATTTGTTTCGCTTTTTGTGGCCTTGCAGGCAACTTCACCTCGCCCAATGACATCAACCTTATTCTCGCGAAGAATACGAGGCTCGAGATATACGTGGTGTCGCCCGAAGGCCTGCGACCTGTCAAGGAAATCGGGATCTATGGCAGGATCAGCATCATGAAGCTGTTCCGGCCGCCGGTAAGCTGCTGAATCGTCAGCATTGGTGTTTGTATGCATGTTTGGAAAGCGGGAGCGAGCTCCAACTGGCGTCTGGTGTCCGCCCCTGTAGATGCGAAATTTAGCCAATTCGGTATTCTCTGGTAGCCTGGTGTTCTTACCGTGCATCATGCAGTAGTGATACACAACCGCACGCCGGTGCGATGCTCACCCAGATCGAAACGGGCAGGGGTGGGGATTGAGGCCAGGATCCCTGGGTTCTGCAGCCCCCCTGCTGAATCCTCAGCTTGAGGCATTTTCTGCAGGGCTAGTGGTTGGGCAGCTGTTGATAACCACGGCGATAACCAGCTTTTCATTGCAGTGGCAGCGGTTAGGGATTTGTTTTAGCGTGTCTTGCAGCTGAAACCGTGGAAAAGCGGGCAAAAACGCAATGAAAGGTATTAAAAACACACTGCCAAACAAATGAACATGCTGGATGTATAGAGGCTACTGACTACACATTGACCGCATTCCAGAATTCACTCAATCTCGCTTGGAGGAAAGGCTTTTTACCTCGACATGAGGAAACCGATCCGCGTCAGTGTTGCTGACTTGGTGTTACCTCACAATGTGATCCACTGTGGCCATTTGGATGTGTTTGTGTAAAATTTGAAACACATCTACAGAAGCTGGGCAAAATTTTAAAACTCGTTAAAATGCTGAAGAGCTTAAAACCTCCAGCCATACTGGAATAATGCATGATTGCTATTTTAGTTTGCGGTAGCTGTGTCTGTTGTGTTGGTCTGTCATTTGTTCAATATCAACCCTTTTGCATTCTTTTATGGGTAAGTTGGGTATCTTTTTTTTCTAAGCTGTGGAGTTGTAGACACTTTGAGAACACAGTTAATAAGTTTTTAAAGGGACACTGACAGGGTATTTATGCTCGCCGAGGTTTTTAGTTGTACGTGACATATGAGAGCTCAACTACCCAGAACAGAATTTGCGGCTCGAAATTCGGTTTCTTTCCGCCCGAAAACCGCCGATCAAGAACTGGCCGGTTCGAGTCTCGCTCACTCTCTTTTTCGCGGTCACGGGCCGTTTTCTAAGGTATCGATGCAAACACCAAATTTAATCAAAGTCGTGGGTCACTGAAGGCATACACTCAATATTAAAAATAGAAAAAAATATGAAACCCATTTTTTGTGGCTTCTAAAAAGCTGTAAATACATTGATTGAAAAAAGTTCCACAGACAACCGGAAGCATTCTGTGCGTTCGTCGTTTCGCGTATCGTGGGTCTCGCGCGGACGGCGATGGCAGCGTACGACGGGCGTGGGACCTCTATTTCAGAACTGTCATTCGCGGTCTACCGTTAAAAGAGAAATTTGGGACTGATCAAAAGAATTGGTATTCATCCCGTACGACACGCCCGGCCACCAAGCCGATTTGCACGAAGACGTCGCCGAGCCGTCGCTCCCTTCTCGTGGCTGAAGACATCGCTCGCGCAAACGTCAAGCACGACGTGTCTACTTCGAGTTGAATATGCACGCGTACGATTTCTTTATTAGGTGCGAATGTCCCCAAAGCGTGGTGCTTTCCGACTTCGACCCAGGAGTGCTTTTGCTAGAGAAAAATCGACCGCCAACTTTCCAACTTACCGTTTACCGGCTGAATTATTACTAAGGAAAGAGATCCTCCAGAATCGAGATGCCCCAGTAGCTTAGTGGGAAAGACGTCCGGTTCACATGCGGTAAAACCAGGTTCGATTCTCCGTAAAAATTTTTTTTTTTCAAACATTTTTTGATGTTTACATATCTTTTTCTTTTTTTTTTTTTTTACAATCATCACTGAAGAAACAAACAAAAAATAACAAACAAATGTTCTGGACGATACTTTGCTGAATTAAATGGTATGGGATTTTCGTTTTGACACCTGCGAACTCAATGTAATCACTTTCCACAAAATGCAAGGAGCATATAAGTCAGGTAGCGTCCGCTTTCCAAGGTGCCCGTAAATGTTCTACAGGAATTGCAGCCAGCCATTAGTCCCGATCCCGTTGATCTTTCGGAAACTCTGTCGCACAATGCCACTTTTTTTCGGATGCAGGACATGTGAGCTAGCTCTTCACGCAACATCTTGGGTGTATTCTTTTCGGAGCCGATCATAGAAATTCACCACGGGCACTCGCTACTCATCTCCGACTCCTCAATATACAAAACAACTCATCTTAGAGTACAGAACAACGAGCGGAACAAACATAACTGCAAAAGAATCGCCCGGCGAGCAGTTCCCGCACGCCGCATCGCACGCCGCATGTCGTGTCGTCTGCTACGGAGAGGAGAAAAAATAAACAAAAGAAAAAAAAACGCACAATCGGGTGTAGCCACGTGACTTCCGCCACTCACTCTCTTTTCTCCACTTCTCCGACCTCCGTCGGGTTTCGGTTTCGGTTTCGAGCAGTTGCGTCTTTCGGCTTTATTAAAAAAATACGCTACCCTGTTGCAAAATATTAATTGGGTAGTCCTCTGACACCATAGTAAAGCCCCTGGCAAAAAATGAAAAAAAATTTTTGGGGGGGTGTCAGTGTCCCTTTAAGAGAGGTATCTGTCAAGCCTGTGGCCAAAAGTCTGCCCTCCTCTAGTAATGCGATACGCTTGGCATTGCTTTAACCAACATATTACAACACTAGTTTTTAACAATCTCGGGCTGACCAATGTGCGCTTGCCAGGTTGCCATTTTAGGTTCTCTGCTCTACAATGTGTAGTGAGAAGCATGGCACAGTCAATTGCGTAATGTAATAGATGAGTGCACTTGCTTTTTTTTTTTTTTTTTTTCACGTTGCTCTTAGTTTTGTGCAATATTGCGGACTGTTTGCTAATCCATAACAAACGTTTGTTCTTGCAGGGCGAGAAAAAAGACCTATTGTTCTTTCTGACGGCCAAGTACAATGCCGCCATTTTGGAGTGCATTCAGGACGGCGGTGATGGCGGCGTTGAGATCATCACGAAAGCCCATGGAAACATTGCTGTGAGTTTATTTAAAAGGTTCAAAAGCGCCAACGGAAACATGGAACAAAGTAAGAAACACATATGACAAGGACAGATGCCACTTACAGCAGATTTCATTGAAAAAACATTCACACAGCCAGTCTGTTGTTCCCCATACCAATAAACAAGCCATAAGCTAACATCATTTCAGCAGTCTTATATAAAGCCATCTAAAAAAGACATTTTTTTATTCAGCAGAAAAATAGATGCCATGCTCACACACTTTTCACCCGCATTCTTGATAAGGAAAGCTTCAACAATTTCTCTCCTTCTTTTTAATGTTTCTCCTGCTTGCCGGTACATGGCATTCAACATTTACGGAAAAGTCCTATTGTGGTGGTTGTGTAAATTTTTCACTCTTACCGTGTCTCCTAACTAAAGCATCTTGCCATAAAAAAAATAGACACAGTTTGTTAGAACAGATCTGCAACGCCATAATTAGATTGTAGTATCTAGGTGAAATGGCTAAAGTATCATCATCGCAGGTATGTTCCCACTGCATCACTATGGTCTCAGATAAACAGACAAGGTCTACTCATTTATTTTTCTTTTCATGATGCACAATGGATAAAAGAATTGTGGTGACAGCACCCTTTGTAACAGGCAGTAGTTCAACCATCTAGTCTACAATTATCCCCCCCCCCCCCCCCCATTCCCCCCCCACTACCCCACCAATTTCTTCGTTTAGCTGAACTTTTTTCTTTCAAAAGATGTTTTTATTTCGCTTTGAGCCTTTCCTTCGAGACCTTCTTGTGTCCTTATGTTGAGATTACCTCATCAACGAATCAGCAGTTTACATCTTTCCCTCACAATTTATTTAGTAATTATTCTTTGAGAGCAGTCAGATACATAGACCCGGCTGCAAGCAGTTCACCATTTGACCGAGGCTTCTCATTCCCTTCTTTACCAAACCATACAGGACTCGTTTTCGAGACCCTCGGAGACTGGCAACATTGGGATCATTGATCCGGAGTGCCGGGTGATTGGTCTGAGGCTCTATGATGGGCTGTTCAAGGTCATCCCCTTGGACAGGGACAACAGGGAGCTGAAGGCCTTCAATATCAGGTCTGCTTTCTTTCCACGCTAGAACTAAACTGGAGCCTGCATACCACATTCCGTCCTATTATAGCTTATTTTGTCATGCAGTAAGATGCAGGAAAGACCATCAATTTTAATGCGAGCCCGTGTATGCATCGCTCCACTCCTTAGAACAGGTACTAATACAACAAGACCTCTCTACAAAACAAAAAGAGTTTCTTGAAAAGGACTTGTAGTCCCTAAAGGTTTTCCATCTAATTTAATTACCTTCCTGTTCTGTTAGGACTTCCCTAAAAAGGTGTCTTATAAGTTCACTCGTCTATGCTATGAGGCTGTTCTGCCCCACACTAGTCACCTTTAATCGGTAGCATTGATTGGAGGGATGCCCGTTTCGTTGTGCTGCCTCGTGACGGTTGCCAATCTGGAGGCCTTTGTGGTGTGCTAGCATACTTGGGCCGTGGTCTAAATTTGCTCTATCTTGTACCAGAGTAAATGTTTTGTAACCTGACGCTTTAGAACCTACCAGCATTCAAGGTTACTTTATCTGTGTTATCACGTGGTACGACCCGCAAGAGTAGCTCATATATGCTCGGGTAAGATTTGGTGGCCCCGCTACTCCATTGAACATTGCGTCGCGTAAGATTTGGCGGTGCCGCCGATGTTGCATTGCATCGATGTGACTTCCCTGGCAGGATGGAGGAACTAACGGTGCAGGACATGGAGTTCCTTCATGGCTGCAAGACGCCGACCATTGTGCTGCTGCACCAGGACAGCCAGGCGCGCCACATGAAGACCTACGAGATCTCCCTCAAGGACAAAGAGTTCGTCAAGGGGCCCTGGAAGCAGGACCACGTCGAGAGCGAGGCCACCATCGTCATCGCAGGTGGTCTCACCCTCCAGAGAGATTCTTCATTTATTATCATATTTTACGGTCTTTAAGACACAACTTTCTATGAGTCGCGCTGCCCTAGACTCCGTTCACCCCTAAGCTGAGACTGCTGCAGGAGCTATGCTCTCACTGGACCTATGAACTGCCTCTCTTTCATCGTCGGACCCAGCTCCCTGCGCGAGGATGTGGGCGAGAGCGCGATCACGTGGCGAAGAAATGATGTATGGCTGCTCCAACATGCTTGTAGATTCCACCGCGGTCTCAGCTTAGGGGTGAGCGGTTTATAGAATCGGCCGTTTTCACAGAAAAGTCGGTCGTTGCGCTTTTGTATAAGTCATTTCTTTGTATAAGCAGCTGGTTTTGGAAAATATTTAGTCTATCAGTCGCATTGTTGTGTAAGTTACACCCCCTTAGAAACGGCAGTGTACAGAAAAAAAGTCGGTCTACCAGTCGCACCACCCTAGAAATGGCTGTTTTTAGAAAAAAAAAAAAAAAAAGGGTTGGTCTATAAGTTGCACCCCCTAGAAACAACCTTTCGTCACAAGAAGGTAGGTTTATAAGTAGGGCCCTTTGTTTTGGGGTAAAACCCAATACGTCCCTATATTTACACCCCGGACATGTTTTTTGAAAATCGGGTTAAACCCAATTTTCCCCCGAATTCGGAACAAAAATTCCACCATTTTCAAGTCATCATCATCATCAGTATTTATTAAACCTTGAAGGCCCTTACGGGCATTGCAGAAATGTGGAGCTAATTAAAAAAACTTGATGAAGGCGTGCAGGACAGAAGCAATGTAAAATATATTCGAGTAGTAATACTTTCTGGCAAAAAAAGTTATTTTTGCAAAGGCAATTTTGGTGAGAAAAGTGCTACCCCAGTCTACCGAAAGCCGTGCTGACGTTGCTTTGCATTGCAAACGGAAGCTTTGATGTTGGGAAAGCATTGTCACAGTTAAGATAAGTCTGAAGACTGGGCAAGTCTACTATCGGGACAGGATATCTCCACATGCAGGTAAATATGTATATACCAACAAAATTTTTTTGAAAATTGAAATGACCAAGTGAGCTTATATACTATGTTTTAATCCAATTGTCTCCACATTAATAACTTTGTGTGTAAATAAAACATTCTACGTCCTAACCCAGTCAATACTTTTTATTGACAGTTATAATCATTGATATTTGTACACAACCCCCAAAAGATCCGAATTCTGGAATTGTTTCTTGAAAAACCCGATTTCTCCCCTATTACAAGCTTAGAAAAGACCGCCCGATTTTTACCCCTCTATTTTTCAAAAATATAAAAGCCGAAAACAAAGGACCTCATTTATGAGTCGCGTCGTCGTGTGGGTAAGTTGCACCCCCCTAGAACCGGCTGTTTTTAGAAAAAGTTGGTGTACAAGTCGGGCCTGTGTCTAAGTCGCACCTTTATATTTGTACAGTTCAGAAAGCTGAACTAGATTTCAAGAAGCTTCTCAACGGGTGTTTTCCGCAGAAAAAGAAAAGTTCTCGAAAGACAAATTTCATTATGTGAGAAACAATATCTTTGTGTCTCTGTCACGACTGTCCAAATGCAACGGACGTCGTTGCTACGACAAGAAGGCTGAGCGACTGTTTTGGAAAGTTGTCAGGTGACAACAAGCATGCGACAGTTAACGTCTTCAATGCGACCACACTTGCTGCAGTAACATGTGTCGAAACTTAAAAAAACTTGTGTCGGTGCATTTGTCAGAACCTCAAACAAAACATTGGGTACAAAGTCGGGTTATTGAAGCAGTTGGGTGAGGACTGCCCATGGCTTTCGGGTCAGATGATTTTTTCACTTTGTGGTGTTGCCCTTGGGAAGGAACAGTTGCAAGATTTTCTTCATCAAATTACTTTCCACTTGCCACCGTTACGCGTTTAATACGAAATTGTTTTTCAGTGCCCGAGCCCTTCTGTGGTGCCCTGGTCATTGGGCAAGAATCGATCACCTATCACAACGGTGACCAGTATGTGGTCATCACCCCTCATCTCATCAGAGTGAGTGTGCACAGAGAATGTTTGCATGCTAAGTGCTTTGGACCCCTGCTGTGCTTTTAATTTAAGATGCCCTTTACTCAAGGTGCGTGAAAAAGTTGTGATCTGTTATTATCATTTCAGTGCTTTATATGCCTTGTAAGCTAATAGCTGCGCATGTTCTCGGAACTAATCGCATAAAACATTGGTTCCTGCGGGATGTATCGGTGAGGTGTACAGTTGAAACCATCGTAAGGAAACTCTTGCTACACTTGTGAATGTTCAAGCAACTGTTCGGGTCTTCAATTAAAAAATTTAGTCCTGTGGCTGCTTCCTTTTTTCATTTTTTTTTTCACTAATTAAATTTATAAAAATGCAGTATGACAAAGAAAGAAAAAAAAAAGAAGTCTCAGAGCCAGGCAGATTAATGTGCCTACCTTCCCCTAACTGTTAGAAGAATATTTTTTTGATCTATAAAGGTTTTTTTTTTTTAATCTATAAAAGTAGCTATTATTAAAACGAGTAGAAGACTCTGAAAATTTAATGAAACCAGTAGCATGATAGAAATATAACTACAATATTAATTTTTAAAGTATGTTGTGATTTCTCTTTCCTTGGGACATTAAACAAATATTCATTGGAGTAGGTTTTTTTTTAATAGTTTATTTAATAATTTAGGACCAATATTCTGCCGGTCACTGGTATAGTAAAGGCCTTGAAAAAGTAAGTACCGAGGTTTTCCTTTCTGGGGACTCACGACATAAGAGTTGTCAATGTGCGTGTCATTTATGCACCTTTGTAAAGCTGGTTATGCGGATTTACGGAAATACCTATCTTTCTTACGTCTATGGCCGAATTTAGTACTGAGAAACAGCATAGATCCCCAGTCTCGAATTTCCACAATGTCACAAGTTCACCAGCTTGCCTGTATCTTTTGTTGTTTCTAGCGTTACTCAGTTCAGGCGACGACAGTGCAAGGCTTGCTCGTCGGCTCTAGACAAGCACCAAAGGATATTTGGTTTGTGTTGTAACACTGATCGAGTTTGCCCGAACGAAGTTTTAGCTTGACAATTGAATCATCACAAGCATGCACTCAAGGGCAAGTTTCGTTTGCTGCCCTTAATCACTAATTTATGCAGTTTCTTCTTCCTTGTAAATTTTATTTTCAGGTGTGTGATAGGGAGAAGAGAGAGAGAGAGAAAATAACCGAAGGTTGCGGAGACATGTTGTTCAGTAGTATTGACTCTATTTCAAAGTAGCGACATCAGGAGCATTGGAAGTGTTTGGAGAGAGATGGGGATTTTCCTCTGCTTGGGTTGAACTCATTTACTAGAAATGTCCAAAAGGCATTACCCCCCCCCCCTCTCAGGCCCTCATGTTCTGGCGGGATCATAACTCCACTCTGCCTGTCGTGTTTCAGCAAAGCACCATCGTGTGCTACGGAAAGGTGGACGCAAATGGCTCTCGCTACCTCCTGGGAGACATGGCCGGCCGTCTGTTCATGCTCCTGCTGGAGCGAGAGGACAAGATGGACGGCACGACCACTGTCAAAGACCTCAAGCTCGAGTTCCTGGGAGAGGTGAGACCTCTGCTTTCACGTGCCCCCAACAGTGTCTCTCGAGGCACCAAACAATTCTTTTACTTGTTTATTCGAAGAATATAAAGCTTAATTCAGGTATTATACTTTGTCCCAAAATGGATATTCCTCTGCGTAAAGAAGAACTTAGAAATGAATGGTTGAAAACGCTTTATATCTTTTGTAAACTTGTAGACAATAATGCATAATTTAAACCACCCGTCTTAAAAGTGTGTGACAGAGGCGTACTGGAGTGTTGGAAAAATATGGATATGCCAAAGACTGCTTCAATATTCTTATTTCCTTCGTACTCGACTCTATAAGGGAGTGGAATGCAGCGTTCGAAAGTTCTCGTGTGAGGTACAAAGTGCCTAGGTATGTAATTACGGTAGATCCTTTATGTATGCTAGAGACTGAGATAATGGAAGTTCAGACGAAGTGAAAAAATCTGACTTCGCTGCAGAGGGGCATGTTGTTTCTACATTCTCACAAAATGCACGTCCCAGACCACTCGGAGGAATTCAAGTTGCGCTCGAGGCTGCTTCAGCATTCTTCATTTCCTCCGCACCTTATAAGGCACCGTCTGAAAGCACCGTAAGAAGATACAAAGTGTCTACTCGCGTAATGAACTTCCGATAGCAAAGACCAAGATGGACGTAGTGGAGCGAAGTTCAAGCATACTTGTAATACTCATGGTACCGGCACTTCATGATACCGACATCCTGAAAATATGGATACAGAAAAAAATTTTCCCAAAGAAAAGTAACAAAGAAAAGCCCTCTATACAGCAACTCTGCTGCGTTTCATTTTGTCGTCATCATTCCTTCGTATTTTCTTTTAGTAACTGTATTCTATTCACTGACAAGATTTGACAAGATTCGACAAGATTCTATGAGATTTGAATGCTCGAACTCCAGCACTTGCTCATTGCCTTTTGTCGTGCTTCGGCCGTGCGTGCACACTCGAGGCTCGGCAGGCGAGTAAGCGTAATCGAAGCTAGGAAGCTCACGTGAAAGGAGGGGCAACCGAAACTGCTCACTGCCATTCTCACCCCTGTCTGTAACCGTAGCCGTCTCCGACCTTCATAACACACTTCCAGACACGTTTGGAAATTGTGAATAGTACAACGGTTCAGAACGGTGGACCTACGACGTGCCCTTGTTGCTTTGTGTCTCAATGTCTATGGCGCGCGTCGTTGCAGATCACAATTGCGGAGTGCATGACGTACCTGGACAACGGGGTGGTGTACGTGGGCTCTCGGCTGGGCGACTCGCAGCTGATCAAGCTCAACTCGGAGCGCAACGAGCAGGGTTCCTACGTGGAGGTCATGGAGGTCTTCACCAACCTGGGCCCCATCGTGGACATGTGCGTGGTGGACCTCGAGAGGCAGGGCCAGGGCCAGGTTGGTCGCGCCCTCTACGCTCTCACTTCGTGAGCTCGTCATGCGGCGTGCTTGCACGCACGGGTGCGGCCTAGGTTTGCATCCGCTTGTCGCCGCTCATGATGGAATTCGAGCTCTCTATAAAATTCCGATTTCACGTATCCTGCGAGTATCGACGGCCGTCATGGCGCAAACTTGTGAGACATGTGCCGCGAGCGAGCGCAGCATTGCCACTTGCTTCTGAGGGCCAGACGATGCACTGTACTCGTGCATTAGTGCATTTGATGCTACGGTGCAATCCACTCGGAACGATAATGAGAAAACTGGAACGTTCTATGAGTATGACCGATTATCGTCGTATCTGGACTACAAACTGAGCATTTGTAGTCTAGAAACTCTAGAAACTGATTGTTATAAGCGATACGTCGTCCTATCTGATATTGTTACAAGTGGATTGCAAATTACTCGTAAGACAAACACTATCAAACCAAGGGGCTTTAGACGAGGGAACACGCCAGCGCCATCTACCAAATTGCCCCGGAACACTCTTAATCCAAATATTTTACGTTTTGTTCTTTCACCGAAGGCTCAAATAATTGTGGCAATGTAACAAACCGAGTTCCACGTTTTCGGTAAATACCGACAAAACCGGGAAGTTAACATCCTCGCACCGGCTTTATCGAGGTCGGGGAAAACTTAAGAACCCAGAATCGGAGCATTCTTTCCCCGAGAAGAACCCAAACTTCCCGGTGAAAGAAAATTTTTGACTACAATAGCTGCTATTTCGTTGTAACCGACTTCGTTATAACCGGTCTCAACAGTACATGTCTTCATTGCAATCACATGTAAATTGTATAGATGTCGTATAGTTCTCGTAATGTTGTTGTAAAGATAACAGCTTCGCTGGTCCTCCATCTTCACGTAAAATGGATGGGCTCTACAATTTTTAATTAACATTATTTTACGGTTTTCATCTATCCGCATAAAACTAAACAAAAAACTATCATGCTCGATGTTGCACATCCGACATTCCTAACTTTTCCCATCTTCCTAAATTTGTGCGTGTGTCCCAACATTGGAAACCAGCATTTTAAAAGTTAAAAACGAGACATTGCAAATATGGGATGTACACTTTCATGCAAAGATTGCGTCAAATGACTCAAATCGAAAAACATGCATATTTACAATAATATTGTTATCTCTTTTGGTGAAGGCTCGGCAGCCCACTGAATTTATTTCTGCGCGCGAAACAATGGTTTTCAGAGCAAGAAAGAACGCAGTGTGAGCGTCTTTATTTTAACAATGTAACAATGCACTGATGAGGCCTCAAACCGAAACTTGCATATCTGCGCCTGCTGCTACCCAACCTCGTTGTCACACCACTCTAGCAAGAAGTCACTCTAAAATCGCCAGTAAACACACAAAAAGGACACCGATACAATTATCTTGTAGAATATCACATTATTTAGAAATAGCTGTGTCAATATGCATTTAAAGAAAACCTAAAAACTTTTTTCGCCCGAAAAAATGTAAAATCAACTTATTAGTCTGGCAACAATCTGTCTTTGCCGAACCTTTAGAAAAGTTCGGCCAAAACTTTGGTTTCGCCGAATTTTCTATTCGGCAAAAGTTTTGCCCATCAGTAATAACAGCCACAGCTTAATTTTGAACATTTTACTGCAATGTGGATATCAACGTTTACAAAGTTTCATTTTCTTTTTTAGCACACCTGGCGCACACGTGCACCATCCCGCTTTGAAAGTGTGCTTTTCTCCCAAGCACACAATTGCTATATTCATACTTTTGCAAGTGTTGTTCGCAGCGGGTTATCCGTTGAGTGTGCTTCTTACCGATCACCGGTGCACTGCAGAGAAGCAACACCCGGGGAAGTGAGCTCCTCAGCGGGTGCTTCTTCGCAGTGCACCGGTTCCCGGTAAAAAGCTCACTCAACGGGGTAGTTTGCCGCGATCAAGAGTTAGAAAAATATGAATATCGCTGTTAATCTCGAAGCGAATATCGAATAGCATATTATTCAAAACTACCATTTGAAATTTTGAATAGTCGCACAACCCTAAAACTATACTTTACTTTTGAAGGAATCCTACAACACATTTTTCGCTATTTATATTAATTTTTTCTTAAGACAATAATTGCGCGGAGTCGGTAGCCAAGAAATGCAGCTCTAGAGGCAACGTCGAAGCATTCGTTGCGCACTTGAAAGTCGCACTCTCGCAATATTTTATTGTACCAGAATCTTGGCATTTGCTCGCCGACGAGTCGTGCTTTTGTCTCATTATTTCGCCATTCTTGAAGTGCACATGATCCCTTGTGATGTCCCGCAAAGCATCGGCGGCGATTCGCACGTACTACTACTTGCGAAGGGTACAAGTGGAACGCATGTCGTCCATCATTCCAGCTGGTGACCTGCTCGGGCGCCTTCAAGGAGGGCTCTCTGCGCATCATCCGCAACGGCATCGGGATCCACGAGCATGCCAGCATCGACCTGCCAGGCATCAAGGGCATCTGGCCACTCAGGGTCAACACGGACAGCTCCAGAGACAACACCCTCGTCCTGTCCTTCGTCGGACAGACCAGGTAAGAACGCGGAATTGCGTTCTTACCGAAGCTAACTCTGAGTGAGAGCCTCGAAAAGTGAGGCGGGCCAAGGTCAAAGAGAGATAGCCAGCTACAAAACACCTGCGCAGCAAGCTCCGTAAACCCCATAACAATAACAATAATAATAATAAAAAAAAAAAAAAAAACGGCAAAGGAAAGGAAGACAAGAAAAAACATGGAAAAGACAGGAGATAGGACTCCGAGACGTTTCATGAAGACTTTGCCAGGTGCAGAAACTTAAAGAAGGACAAAAAGAAAAGGTACGAAAGGAGTACCGTTGCGACACTAGACTTGGTGTCGCGTGTGCCTGAATTGCTGAGACCAGAGTTAGCGTCCACTGCGTTCATCACAAAGCGCAACTGTGCTTGCGATGGTTTGATCGATAGATTGAAATGCGACTGGAAATCTTTTTTTGCTTCTTCGTGTTGTCAGGGGGGGGTATTTTGTGGTTTCAAGTGCAAAAAGGTTACGGGGGAGAAGATCCCAACCGTCGGGCCCATAGTTGCTCTTTCGAGAAGCAAGCCCACAGAAGCAACATCGTCGTCAGTTGATTGTTTCTATTACTGACGCGACGTTTGGCTAACGTAGCCAAATGACGTGTCAGCATTTGGCTGCGGTTCGTGTTCTTTTAGTGAATCACCAATTGAACACGAGCCTCAGCCGAATGCTGACGCAGCATTTGTGTGCAGTCTGTGCCTGCCGCTCGATCGAGGAACGTGACGTTAAGAATTCAGTCCACAGGCATTGCGTTGGGCAGGCACCGAGCTCTGGGGAAAACAAGCTGGACAAAGCGCTTGGTATTTTTTGATCTCTCGTTTCTATACTCTGTTCCTCCGTAAGTTGGCAAACAGTGAAAGCTACGTTCCTAGCGAACCAATCGTAGCGTCGGCGCGCAGCGCGTGACGATGCACCATCATTGTGTGCTCCTCTCGTGGGGAGCTGTCAAGTGCTTTGCTTCGTAACCAATTGTTTCGCAGTGCTTGCAGCATTCTCTCTTGGCCAGGTTGTGCTGAAACAAACTATGGTAGTTGGAGGGAGGTCTTGCATGGTTTCACGATGGAAGAAAGTGGCACAGTCATTCGTCTGTCAACCGTACATGGTTTTTAGGTTCTGCCATTCTGTGCCTGGAAGGTGGCACAAGGTGGATGAGAACATGCATGTAAAGACTATCCCTGCTACGAAGCTCAAACTTAAGCTAGTTCTTAACTCATAATCTTTGATAAAACAGTGCAGGAATAACACACACCATTACTATAGGGGATGGAGGTGTAGGACGACATACAGTTTGCTGACTAACAACGGACTCTTTTTTTTAGAAACCATGCACAACAATTGAAACATAAAAATTGAGTCAACACTACTATCTACTTGGGCCATGCTGGGTTTCGGTTATGAAATAGGTTATCAAGAAATAATAGCTTTCATGAGTGAAAGCTCAGCATGCCACATAGTAGAGTGTTTTGTGTTTTCTTATTTTCTTTTAAGCTTTTCAATAAATCATAAATTGTTAACTGCATTTTCCCACCTAGTTTCTTGTTTGGTCCCATCTTTGTTATTTTGTGTCGTCTCGTCCACAGTGTAGTCAGGCTTTTCTTTCTTTATTGCCGGTTCGTCATATGCTTTCCTGGAATGCTCCTTCAACGAGAAAGTGTCGTTGTCTCTGTTCAGGGTCCTTATGCTGAGCGGTGAAGAGGTTGAAGAGACAGAACTGGCCGGCTTCGACATCTCCCAGCAGACATTCTTCTGCGGCAATGTCCGCAACAACCAGCTCATTCAGGTGAGAGCCAAATGAATTAGGGCAGTGTTTTGTGCAAACAGAAAGTTTGAGAGACAAACACACCTGGTGATCGCTTCAATGTCGATGCTGGTCGGCATTTGTACCCTCTTCTCGATGTAATATTCCTGTTAGAATTAAGACAAAATGATTTTTTCGTGACCTTTCCATTTCGCGTTTTCTCGCCAATATTGCGGTAAAACCTCTACTGATGTGTAATAAGGACATGGTGGAAAGCACTCAGCAAATTTAAGACAAGCTTGTAGATGCTTAATGCTGTACCCTGCCTCTCCTAACATGGAAAGACTGTCTCTACAATGGCCATAAGTACAATGAGGTAGTTTTTGTACATGCTTCAGCCGTACAAGCATGCAGGCGGACACACGTACTGAAGCAGGGTAACTTTGCAATTACGGATTTGTCATTTCAGATACCTTGTACTAGAGGCCCGTACGGGCCGATATTTATGAGCCCTGCTCAATCCGGTCCGCTGTCTTGAACCCAAGCCCGCCCGCAGCCCGCTATCCACTTCTGTCAGCCGACCCGGCCAGCCCGATGCCAATTTTTAGGGGCCTGCTGAGGCCCACTCCATTTTCGCCCAATACGAATAGCCACAAACAGGGTTCTTCCCAGGAATTTTTTAGTGGTGGACATAACCACCATGCGAGCAGCGGGGGTGGGGGGGAAGGGCGCTAGTTTGCAATGCGGCACAATCTGGCTTGCCGGCAGAATGCACTTTGCATAGGCTTTCTAACTTTGCGGCCCTGTGAGTGGCGCCACGCCATGGTGATGAAACCAAAACCAAAATGCCTTGGAAAGAAAAAAAAAAGGTGGGGAAGGAAAGGGGGGAGCTACCGAAGGGGCGAAGATAAAGCAAGCCATGGCGTGAACAAGCATTGAGCAGTGAAAGAAAAGTTGTCTCGGCTTTCTGCTCTCTGCCACTCATTGCCTGCGGAGAGAACTGCTGCACGTTCGTCGCGTCTGTTTAATTTGTGTTTCTTCTCAACCGAGCACTCTTCCCCTCCTCGCACTGCTGACGCCGCTTTGTGACTCCGCTCTCCTTGTTTGATGAAAAAGTGGCGGCACGCGATAACGGGGCGGTGTGCAGGCCTGCTGAGTACGACGCTTTGCAGCCATATGCGCAGGCAAAATCGCATCGTCACCCTGTGGCAAAATCGAGCAGTGCGCGGTTAGTCAGAGCAATGGGTGGTCGGTCGGAGCGGTGGGCGGTAAAGCCACTGCCGCCCACCATGGGGAGAACCCTGCCCACAAATTGTGCGGCATGGTGGCTCGGTTGCCACCGACTGTTACACATGTTGATAACGGTACCCAATATGTAGTCAGTTAAGTAAGCATAATTTTTTTTTCTTTTGCTACTATTATAAGTTGGGCAGATTTGTGGACCTAGGCAGCTCGATAAAAAAAGAAATCGTCCTTTTTTGCGTCCAGACGCACATATTTAAAAGGAGGGAAAAATAAAGATCGCAAGCAACAGTGAACAATGCCATGTGACATAGTTGAAAACGAAGGGAAACTTTGCGACAAGTTCGAACAAAAGACAGGCAAAGTTCTTAATTGCCCACTCCCGCTGTGTACGACCGAAGAAAAGTATATAAAAAATACCGTCTTTTGTGACAATCCAAAAGAAGTTTAGGGAAAGCACCTCTAAAGGGACCCTTTTCACTCATATTGTGGATGCACACACTCATACCTACAGATGGTTTACGCCTGCGATTGTGTGCATTGTGTAGGCAAATATGTGGCCATGTTGACAGGGAGAAGTGACTGTACGACGGCGGCGCCGCCGGTGATGAAAATGAGTGCCATGCCGCTGCCACTGCTCTGGAAGAGCATTCAGTACAGACACACCGTGCCGTACAAACAGATGTACAAACACACATGCTTTCAGCATTTGGGTCTCTTAAACTGTGGTCTCTCCCCAACCTCCCAACAAGTTTAAAAAAAATATTGCTGCTCCTAAAAACGAAATAAAAAATAACGGCCGGCTTAACTTGTTTTGTAGACTTCAATTCAAGGCCTGAGCCCGACCCGCAGGCTGGCCCACACTCGTGCAAACCTCTACCTTGTACTGGTGTATCAAAGTCGGGTTTTCTTTTTCTTCGCTCCTGATTATTGTTTTTACAAGAAAGACATTTTGCTAAATCGATATGTGCAATAAAAATTTAAAAGTGCTAATTTTTTTTTTTTTATTAACTTGGCTATGGTGAGGTTTAAGTAGTAAGTTATGGAAGGCATTCCAAAGCTCACCGTACGAACTCAAAGAAAAGGTCCTAGGCAGTTTGGCAGCCATCGTCGAATCAATGTGACCGCCTCTCCGGGAAATTGCAGGTGACGGCCGCAGCGGTGAGGTTGGTGGACGGAAAGACGAAGCTCTTACTCAATGAGTGGAAGCCTCCCGGCGGTAAGAACATTAGCGTGGTGACGTGCAACCAGAACCAGGTGGTGTGTGCGGTGCGACAGGAGGTGTTCTGCCTCGAGATCGCCGACGGAACGCTCAAGCAAACCAGGTGCGTCTTTGCATCATTTCTCCACATTGCGTCATTTCGGGAGCCGTACCGTTTTCGCTGCCTCACTTTCGGTAGACGGCTTGGCGCGAGCTCCGCACAGACCCGTACAAACCCCGAGGTCCGGGCCGGGTAGCCACGTCGTTCGCCGGAAAAGCAGGGTCTAAATTTTCACAAGCTTTTTGTACCACGTCTTGCCCCGCTTGTCCCTTTACAAAGTGTATTCAAAAGACTTTAGGTTTGTGACGAGCCTGTTGGTAGAAGTTGGCTATCGTACAAAGACAACGAATGAGAGACACTCAGAATGCGAGTAGGGTGCACCGTCGTCTCTCTTTGTCCGTTTCTTATTTATTGTTGTGGTTTTGAATCTTTTGATTGTGTTTTGTTTCCTATCTGTCCCAATCATCTGCTCGCTTGATCGCCAGTGTAGCCGTCTGAGCACGCAGTTGAGAGGTCAAACTCTTGGAACTGCAGCAATGCGGAGATGGAGAACGAGGTGGCCTGTCTAGACATCACACCTCTCAACGACGGCTCTGGCAAGTCTGACCTCTGTGCCGTCGGACTCTGGACGGACATCTCCATCCGCGTGCTGAGGTTGCCTTCCCTCGAGCAGCTTCAAAAGGAGAACATTGGCGGCGGTCAGTAGGGCTTTCTTCTTTGGGGCTCGGAAGCTGCCGGAACTAGCTAGTTTGAAGCTCCGCCTTAGCAGTGCATCTTGCCTTCATTTGCACCAAGTGCTTACTTTGGCTTAAAATCTGGAGAAGGATCAGTGGCCGAGTGGGCTAATGCACACCAGCTCGGAGCACGTGGAGTGAAAGCTCTTGCTGCAGAACCCAGCAATCCTGGGTTCTATCCCCACCCCTGTTAGTTTCGATCTGGATGAGCATCGTACCGGCGTTTGGTCGTATATCACTACTGCGTGATGCACGTTAAAGACCTCAGGCTAGCGGTTGTACTGTACTGGCTAAATTTCTCATCTACCGCTGGGGACTCTTTGCCCGTTAAGGCAGACCAAGTTCTAATTGGGTTGTGGGGATATTTATACAGCGTGTAGTTGGTCAGCCATTAAAGTTGCAACGAGTCACACGCTGTAGATGAGCAATTTAGCCAGTGCAGTACAACCGCTAGCCTGGGGTCTTTAACGTGCACCACGCAGTAGTGATACACGACCGCACGCCGGTATAATGCTCATCCAGATCGAAACGGGCAGGGGTGGGGCTCGAACCCAGGATCCCTGGGTTCTGCAGCGCGAGCTTTCGCTCCACGCGCGTCTAGCTGGGTGTGCGCTTTAGCCCACTCGGCCTCCGATCCCCCCAGACCAAGTTCTAGGCTGTATAAACATATGCACAACCCATTTTTTTAATTTTTTTTTGCTTAAAATCTGGAGACGGTTTTTGTTATCGAAGGAATACTGGAGACGTTTATATGCAAGGTGGCACTGAAGGCAGTTCCTAGTGGGGGAAAAGACTTGCCACGCTCTTTCTCCTCTGGTTCTGAAATCTGAAGTAGTGTAAAATTAATTTTTGACCTTTCACAGAGTTTGGAAACAGTTATATCTACAGTTCTTCATTGTCTGTTTCATTTTGTTAGAGTTTATTTTTTTTTTTTTTTGGTTGGCAGAAGTGAAGCAGGCATTGGATGCCTACAGTGTTACATGGGTTCATAGCCTGGCAACACTGGTTCACACTATACAATTGGCTCATTAATTCGAACTCCAGGAAGCCACGAATTTTGTTTGAGTTATCAGAAGTTTGAATTATCAGAAATTCATCTAAATGTGATGCAAGATAAAATGATGATTTGCCATATGAAAGGCTACAGATATTAAGCAGATGTCTGATGATTTCCTCTACATAGGCCTACTGATCATTAGCAGGTATGCCACGCACACACGAAACATTGGTGAAATGTATGACAAGTTTATTTATCCCTTAAAAATATCAATATTTTGGACTGTTTAGACAGCATATGACAACTCAAAACAAAATTAAGTTGCTGAGACACTGTGACGGGGACCTGTGCCATGCCGCCACGCCAGAGTGTCCGTGCAAGTTGCTATAGAAATTTTCGCGTGGTGGTGTCTATTTTCATACCTCATGTGCGGGCACACATGAGGTATGAAAATAGACACCACCACGCGAAAATTTATATAGCAACTTGAGTTCGCTTTTCACGATGTACCATTGCACTGCAGAGGTGCAACACCCGCGGAAGCAAGCTCTGCGGGTGTTTGGCCTCTTTGCAGTGCACCGGTGCTCGGAAAGAAGCGCACTCAACGAGCCGCGAGAACAGAAAGTATGAATTACACAAAAACGCCATTCCAATTAAGCGGCTTATGAATACTTTAAAAACATAGCAGTATCGCGCAGTAGTGATACATAGCTGGTCACATTGAAATGAGCCGGGCCAGGGAAGGAACCTTACGATAGAGCTGATGCAGGGTGACCTGCCTCTGCTGTGGAAGTTAGTTTCTGCTGACTACTATAGGTGCTAAAAAATGACTGTTCCAAGTTTATATAAAAGCACAGGCAATTGTATCCTCTTTTTTTTTTTTTTATGAATCAATTTTTTGGTTAAATTTATCAAAACAACACCTTCTCAAAACTGCTCTTCATGTTGGGGGGATAGGCTGGCCACTACACTTCAGCATACTTACCATGGGGTGCATTGAACCTGTTTTGAGCTTAGTGGGGATGGAGATGCTCTTTCACTCCTGTTGCTTCAGGGTATCCCACGTTGCTTTAGGGAATAACATTAGTGTTATTGCAGACACCTCCATTTTTACAAATTTGGCTAAAGTTCTCAGCGATCGAGCTTGTAGTACTAAGTAAGGGAAGGGAACTGGTGAAAATTCCGTTAAATTGGTGCCTTTGGCTTCACTGTAAAGCCGAAACATTAAATTTTTCAGAAATGTATTCAGGGGTGGCAACATTTAAACTGTTCCTTGTTTTTTGTTTGTCAACGCAGAAATAATCCCGAGGTCCATCTTGATGACAACATTTGAGGGGGTGCACTACCTGTTGTGTGCCCTGGGAGACGGCTCCCTGTTCTATTTCCTTCTGGACGCTTCCACCGGTGCCGTCAGCGACAGGAAGAAGGTATGTTCTGCTCTCTCTATAGTCTGTCACAGAATTAGGATGGCACGGAGGTCCCTCGGTCCTTCCACAACTGGTGCAATCTTCCTGCGTTCGACGACGTCATGGCGTCCGTCAAGTATTGAGCGTGCATGCACAGCCAGAATATGGCGGAATGCAACAAGCACCTGCTGAAGGCAGGGCTTGCTCGTCCTGTCAACGACCGTAGCAGATCTGCAAACCAGGTGGAAGTAATTTGGATTCCCAGAGAAAGACAATCTCGCAAATGTTGCGACCTCCTCGCTGCGTCGAAATGCGCTCGTTCAAAGCAGCGGTGAGCAAACAGTTTTGTTACGTCCGATTCATTTCACCTTCTTTTTTTTTTTTTGGTGTTTGAGGCTTGGTGACCATTTCTAACATTGGATAAAATAAAAATAAAAAATGTTCAGCGAGATTTCGTTATCCTTTTGCATCTCTTTATTGCCTCGGTTCTGACTCACAAATAAACTTGTATGGTCTCACATCTGAATAATACTCGATTTCAGTATCAAGTCAGGTGCTGTTAGCAGTAATTTGCAATTTCAGCTCTGCTCAAATCGGTCAGTAATTGACAGTTTTGGCGTCAGGTTTACACTTCTAGTTTCAACTGCCATCTGTAATATTTTTTCTCTCATTTACTTGTCTTGAAATATTGCCTAAATGTTTACAAAAGAGAAACAGTGCGGCAAACAGAAATACAGCATAAAAAAAATTAAAACAAATCAGGTGCTTTTAAAATTTGTGTTTTTTTTTATCGTGATTATTTGGTTTCGGCTACAGCAGCTCCACACGTTGCTGATACTTACTAAATCTTTGTTTCGTAAAGTTTTTCAGCCTTGGTTTTAGGTTTGCCGATTTCCAGTGTCTGTGTTCTTGTGCAGGTGACACTGGGCACCCAGCCCACAGTGCTGAAGACCTTCAAGTCGCTGTCGACCAGCAACGTGTTTGCGTGTTCGGACCGCCCCACCGTCATCTACTCGAGCAATCACAAGCTGGTGTTCTCCAACGTCAACCTCAAGGAGGTCAACCACATGTGCCCCCTCAACTCTGAGGGCTACCCCGACAGGTGAGCTTTCCTTCCCTCCCTTATCATCGAACTGAACCCTTTCAGTGCCAGAAAGCTCTTACAGAAAAAACTGGCCCGTGTTTTTGCGGTGCTTCGTTGCACACTACGTGGAAATGCAGCGCTCCGTCGTCTGCTTCGTGCGCAGGAGTTGCGGTGACGTCAAAATGACGTTGAGCTCTGATTGGCTTTGATTGAAAGGATAGTGGGTAGACCTCAATGCTAGATGCTGTGCTGTCTACCCACTATATTTTTTTCAGTCATGCCAGTAAAAGCTTGGCGTTCTGACATCATCGCAATCCCTGCGCAAGCAGCAGACAAACTTGTGCTCCGCATAGCATTGCTCATCTTATATGAGGACTACATTCTGCCGATTAAATGGCGACGAACCCTACAGCAGGTATCTAAGCATCTAGAGTCCGTACATTTTCATCCATTAAATATGGTCATAACGAGCAGGTTGTCAGTTCTGTTCAGTTATCTTCATTTCAGTCTGCTCCTTGCTCTTTTGAGGCATTGTGAAGACTGTGGCGCATTAATTGAGGATCTCGTCCTTTGACTTGTGCGTGCGTGCGATAAGGAGAAGAGATTGTCGCATAATGACTGTCGTTTCGCAGGTCTCCCCCTTGGCACAGTGGTTTAGCGTCGGGCTCAAGATCTTGGGGTCCTACATTCTATATTCTTCTGAGGAAATTGGGAGAGATTCAGAATTTTTTTCTTTTATTTTTTTTTTCAATTTGTCCACTTTGTATCACTTTCCCGTGTGTGTGTGTGTTTCGTGTTGAAGCTTAGGATTTTCCGGTGCAGGTTGCCCAAAGAAATGCCACTGCATTTAAAGGTTTCGTATGGCTTGCGTCGTCTGTAACAGCACACAAGAGCATTTTTCGTATCCGACTAAGGCAGGCATCGAGTGTGTCTTGTCTCATTAAGGGAAGTTATTCATGTATAGATTCCACTTCTTCGTCCCTGCAGACATGTGGAAACTTTGTTTGTGCATTTCTTCCGTTGTCTCCAGTCTGGCGTTGGCAAATGACGGGACCCTGCTGATTGGCACCATTGACGAGATCCAGAAGTTGCACATCAGGACGGTGCCCCTGGGAGAGTTGCCCAGGCAAGCGACACGCTTTTATTGATCGATTGATTAGGCTCCGTTCATATGTTTGGATCACCCGTTTATGTGTTTGTACCTGCCCCCTTAAATTGTTTTGCCAATGGAAAGCATACCACATTCCCGAAATATCTCTGGTCTTTTTTGTGCGAGAGGTCTATCGACTTGTTTTTGTGTCTACAGGAGGATCGCGTACCAGGAAGCGACACAGACGTTTGGCGTCATCACGATCCGGAACGACATTCAGGGCACAGGAGGTCTGACACCCGTCAGACCCAGTGCGAGCACCCAGGCTCAAAACGTTACCTACAGGTGAGGATGCTTGTAGGTGTGACTAACTGAAAGTGTTTAGGCTACTGTAATTACTAGTTACAGGCGCCAGCCAATTTTTCAAACTTCGCTGAGACCAAAAAAACGTCCGAGTAATAGAGGAGTTTGAAAAATCAGCAGATTAGAGAACTTGCCTTTATTACGTCTAAGCGGGCTTAAAAAAGCAGAAAATAGTGCCTTGCTTCAGCTTACGTCTGCGCGCCTTGTTTCAGGTCACGTCTCCGTTTGAGTTCGGCAACTTTCTGTAGGAAGTATTCACTGGCGGTCATAGCCGAGCTCGCTGCTGCTTTCTTACCACCGGAGAAGAGAGAGAGGGGAAAGATGCTTTTGTACGAGTTTTGAGTGGCAAGTTAATCTTCTCTAATCTTCTAGAGGGAGAATAGCGACGTTTGGGGAAGCCTGGGACCTACAAAGGAGAGTCCTGGTGATAAGAGGATTTCTCCTTCCCCTCCTCTCGAGCGGTTGCTCGAAAGCTGACGGGAAACTCTCCCCGGGCATGCGCCGTGAGCAGTTACCTCAAATATGACGTCTAGTGAATACCTTCTATTAGCTTGAGAATCACTGCCTTCTTTCCTAGCGTTAGGGTCGAGTACTATCTGCGCTTCTTAGCAACACATTGCGGCGGTGGAAGAACAGATGGGGCTATGACGTCCAAGCCAGCGTATTCCGGAAACACGATTGACCGAGACGAGATCGAGATGAGAGGTGCAAATCCACGACTGCAATGGCGAATGAACAAAGCAAAAGGGTAACAACAATGACAATGGTAATGACGTGCCCAGCTAGAGAAAACAAAGCCATAGAATAGTGTCACCTAGCGATAGCACTTAGGAGTACAAGTGGTGCTGCCAAACCAAGCCAATTCATGTGTAGCCAACATAGAATCCAAAATGGCTGCTTCTCGTTGGTGTTTCCCGCTGATCGCTCCAATCCACGCTCTGTAGGCGTTTAGCCAGCGAAGCTGTGGTATCACCTGCAATGATAGCCCACTGCACTATACTGTATGATGGACAAAAGAAAATTAAATGCACTGTACCAAATCTTTTATTTTGAAACAACATTGATAACTGCTTTGTGATCACTGTGGTACAACGTGAGGTCTTTCGTTCTCACTGCAGAGAGATTCTTGGCTAACTTTAGATCAATGCATGACCCATGCTCGGTGGTTTGCCGACTTGGATTGGTTGGCTGACTTGGAAAAGTTTTGGTACAGTGCATTTACTTCTCTTTCGTCAATCATTGGGTATAATGCAGTGGGCAGTCGTTGCAGGTGATACAACAGCTTCGCTGGACAACCACCTTCGCAGCGTGGATTGGAGCCCCAACTTTTTTTTGTTTTGCTGCGCATTGGCGAGGGGGAGAGAAGAGAAGGGAGGGGAGGGAGAAAGGCAGTGGGGCAAGGTGCGTGGTTGTCCAGTGTCGTGTCAGCGAAACCTGACGCAACGCCCGAGGCATGGGCGTCGGGTTTCAAGGCATGGCCACTGCCGTTCGGTTCGGCTCTACTAGCTAGAACTAACCTTTACTGTCTTAAGAGTACAATTTGCAGCTCTGGCTAGAAGTTAGATGGGCATGCCATGTATCTCTCAAAATCACAAAAAAACTGGGCTGGGTAGCTGTTTTAAATTATTTCACGGGAATGCAGCCCTGCCAAGCTCTCCACGTTGGTCAGCTTCCCTTCAGAAGTGATTGTTTGACCTGACTGTTTCCAGCCTTGCATGTAATGGGGCTTTTTATCTGAGCATGTGAGTGTCTCTTTGCATGCAGTTCAACAATGAGCTCTGTGTTCAAGCCGGGAACAGGCAGCGGAAACGACCAGCTTGGCCAAGAGGTGGAGGTCCACAATCTTCTCATCGTCGATCAACACACCTTCGAAGGTGGGTTTGTAGACTTTTTGCTTTTTGTTTTATTTCGTCCAGCTCCAGCTTGAGTTTAAAATGTCCCGACGCGAGCTAGATACCGTTTGATTACCCAAACAAAATGCCGAAGGTGGCAGTCTGACTTTTGCAACGGACTGAATTGTGCATCGTCTAGCTTTCCGCCCAAAAGCCTCACATTTTATATGGGTGGTTGAAGCTTGTGGGTGCAAGCTCGTCGGATGGGTAGTGTGACGCACAGAATCCGAAGGTGATCCCTCGTCGATTGAGCCACTCGTTCAATTCCTAAGGTAGTATACACTGCTCTCATCATTAAATAGCCACTTTAGTGAAAAAAACTACAGGGCCTGTGCCTTATTTGTTTTAAATATCCCTAAGCTGTCTTTCTGTTATACACTGATCTGTATAATACACATTCTGTCTTTTCTTGGTATAACAGCTTTCTGTTTGTGCATAGGCTGCAGTGAAACATTCCCAACTGGCATGCACGCTACGCATACTTATAACCGTCCGACTTCGGAACGTGTCACTCTGCGGCAAACTTTTTCTTTTTTTCTTTTTCCATCCATTTTTTGTGGTGTACAAGTAAGATGACATCTTTTGTCAGTCCCATCGCCGTATGCGAGAACAGGCACAAGTGAATTGGCAGTTTTTGTTCTCCTCGATTGCCGATTTTAAGGCAGCGTCTTGTCTCTCTGGGGGCAGTGCTGCACGCACACCAGTTCATGCAGACGGAGTACGCCATGAGCATCGTTTCCACGCGGCTCGGCAGCGACCCCAACGTGTACTTCATCGTGGGCACAGCCATCGTGCTTCCGGACGAGTCAGACCCGAAGCAGGGGCGCATCATCATCTTTCACTGGGTGGACGGTAAGTGCCCCCCCCCCCTCTTGAACTCTGAAGTATGGTAGTGTGGTGCCAAGTTTTACTACAGGGTCATTCCACGCTGAACGATCCAGGCCTACATTTGACCCTCACAGATTCTGTCAAAAAAATTGTATGTGTTATTAGTGATGTAAGAGTATCTTTTCCCTAACATTTTTTGCTATGACTATTTTTTTTTTTTGACCCCACCATGATTTTTGTGGAAAAGAGTCCTTGGCGTAAAAAACGCAATGTCTTTCAGAAAGGTTTAAAAAGAGACTGCAAAACAATTACCGTTTCTGGCAGGTCAATGTATTCTTCTAAATTATCCAATAGGCTTTGTCACGCCTGCCAAAGAGTTTTTTAAGGGCGTAGTAGATGCATTAAAAACGTCCTAAAATGCTTATATTCACTTTTTAATTTTATTTTTAAAACCATGCTTCTATATCAAGACTTAACACTTGTGGGTGTTAGTAGGAAGGGAAACAAAGTATATTTTAAAAAAATGACAGGAAGATCCATTGGTGGGTTCTTCGGGAATGTGTTAGCATGACCCTTGGAAACGTTCACGTTTGGGAAACGCTAGCACTGACCCCTTCACTTTTTTCTTTTCGGTTTCTCTTTTGCTTCCTCTATTTCTTGCTGCCTGTTTTTGGCTTCATTACGGGGTCAATGTTAGCGTTTGCCAAGGGTCATGCTAACGGATTCCCCGAAAATGGATTATTGGATCTTCCTGTAAATTTTTTCACCCATTTTTTTGTACTTTGATTGTCAAAGTATGTCGACGCCCTTAGATACGGTCATCCATATCACTCAAGGAAAGAACCACATTCGTACCACTCGTGGAAGGAACCGCATCCATACCACTTGTGAAGTGAACCGCGTCCATTGTTTTAACTACACACACGCATCGTGGCCCAAGCAATGCTACTACGGAAACCCAGAGTGAAGAACAACCGGTTACGGCAGAGGGGCAGCTGAGCATGCCCGCATTCCACCGCGCCGCGGCGCAACACCTTCTAGATGACAAAGCCATAGTGTCGAATGAGTTGGCGTCATTAGAGAAGGCCAACTCTGGGCAGAGATTGGACTCGACGATTGCGTCAACGCTGGGCTCAAACTTGACTGGAATCCGAGCGCTGATGCAGCACTCGTTTCCAATCTGTTTCCAGCATTGGCCTTCTCTGATTAAGCCATCTTATATATTCATCACTACGGCTTTTTTTATTTAGGAGTTGTTGCGCGGCGTTTCCTCCTCTCTGGCTCTGCGCCAGCTGTGCGCGTGACTTTGCTGAAAACGAGAGGACTTGTTTTGACGAAAACTCGGCGGTGTCTGTCAGTTTGTCAGCGCGGGGGAGAGAGGAAGAGGTTGACTTGTGTTCACGTCAGCGCTTCGGACCAATGGGAGCGTCGCACGTGACAACTGACAAACAAAAGACACCGCCAGGTTTTCGTCAAAACGAGTGTTCTAATGCTAACGCATTACAGTAGTTTGATAAAGAATTTATTACTGTGTTTGCTGAAGTAAATGGACAGTATTTAACGTATAAGAAAATATTCAGTTAAAAAAAAAATTATAAAGGTGGTTGATCTAGAAATATATACTCAACGGTAATAGATAGCCTAGAATTCATACAACAAATGAGCAAAGTTAGGAAAAAGTTATTATCCTTAAAAAGCAGAAAAATAATTTTTGAATTTGGTCCAGTGTCGGTATATTGCAGAATATTCAGTTTTCAAAGCGAAAGCCGAAAGGTTTCTGTCTAAAATATATATATTTCACGGTTATATGTAGTTAGTAAGAAAACAAAGAAAGTTTAAAAAGGACATTATTTTTTAAATAATCTTTTTTGTAGTTTTGGTTTATTTCCAACATTGAACAAAATGCAAGAGGCTCAGCTAAAAAGAAAAAAGAAAAACAACTAAGAGGTGTTTTGTCTAAAAATACATACTTAATGGTTGTAAAAGTTGTAAAATATAAAGATTAAAAATTAATAGAACACCATAAAAACTACTCCAAAATTACTGAAATCACATTTTTTGCAAAATATTGCGTTTTTCGACTTGCATGTCCCCTTTATGTTGAACTTCCGTAACCTCCTCAAGGCTGCGCTCTAATTCGGCATTACAGAAAATTGTAAACGTCTTTCATTTTTTCCTTTTTAGCTCGGTGCCGTGCATTGCTCATTGTAACTGTGTTAGTTTGTTTTCTTAGTCTGCAATGAGAACCTGGGCTAACAGGAAATCCTAAAAAAGGATGACTTTGAAACAACGATGACCATGAAAAGGCAAAATGTCTGCAACGCGCTTTGCGTCTGCATCGCGACTTGCTTGTGCATCACGCTTTGCATCTGCATCGCGCTTTCCGTCTACATCGCGCTTCACGTCGTCTGCCGCAGGCAAGCTGCAGCAGGTCGCAGAGAAGGAGATCAAGGGGGCCCCCTACTCGCTGCTGGAGTTCAACGGCAAGCTGCTGGCGAGCATCAACAGCACGGTGCGGCTGTTCGAGTGGAATGCAGAACGGGAGCTGCACAACGAGTGCAGCCATTTCAACAACATCCTGGCCCTCTATCTCAAGACCAAAGGGGACTTCATCCTGGTCGGGGACCTCATGCGCTCCATGTCCCTCCTTGCCTACAAGCCCCTCGAGGGAAGCTTCGAGGAGGTGCGTTGTCCGACGCGTTACTCCGACCGGCTTGTCCGGCATCCTCAAGCTGCGGACGCAAACACGTCGTACGAAAGACGGTCTGTGAACACCGTCCGAGGCGCGTTTCTTGCTTGTACGTCACATTGGTCGTATGAAAACCGTCTGCAGACACGTTCGAAGCCGGCATACGTACAAAAGGGTCATGCTTCTAGCGTGCTGAAGGCGTTTCCGCTTATAGCTTTTGTCGTCTCGTCTGCAGCGAACGTTGTGTCTTTCGTACAACGTATGGGATTTGTGACTGCAGCTTTACACTGCCCACGCATTGGGGTTTCGCTGCCCTGGCGCTGGTCGGTAGAAGTATGGTGTCTGGAGAGCGTCTTGGACCGACGTACTTGGCTTCCCATCTCACCCGTACATCGAAAGCGGTCTCGATACAGCAATGGGTAACGTCGGCTAATGTGACATGACCTTGGGAGAGACGCCGCAACACGCGGGGCACGTGGTCACGCGATACCTTCGGGCACCGGATCGGCTGGGACGGCTTGTGGCATCCACCACGGTCTGTCGTAAGACGAAACGGAGTATTGTCGGAAATCGGGAGACGAAATAAGGACACGGGAAACACGCAGTCGGAAACGCGTTCCAGGCACCTTCCCGCATATGGCCGCTGTTGTGCGAGATGCCTTGATTCGTTCTCGAAAAGTCTCCGAGTCTTATCGCTACATCTCAGTATGCCCAAAAGAGGAAAAAAAAGTGCTATAGGACAGCTAGAAGAAATGCTCTTTTTTGTTCACAAGTGGAACTGGCCGTTGTTTCAGATTGCGCGGGACTACCAGACCAACTGGATGTGCGCCGTCGAGATTCTGGACGATGACACGTTCCTCGGGGCTGAGTCCACCACCAACCTGTTTGTGTGCCAGAAGGACAGGTGAGCTTGCCACAGCCGGCCGTAGCAGTGACTTATGAGTCAACGTAAATCTTGGGAGTCCCCAGATATGCCCAGACGGTAGTAGCAGTGCACAGCTTTGCAAGTCATCGCGTACACTCGGTCACTAGTAGCACTGCGGTTCCACGTAGAGCCACTGAATGCTGTAAACGACTTGACTTTTGCGACTTTAAAAAAATTGTGTTAACTTGCTAGGCGATTGCGTTGCATGCGTGGAACGTTCAGCATTACAAACGTTGATATCACCTTTTAGCAGCATGTCTAGCCTGTTCAGCCAGGCGTCTACGTTCAAGGCGCTCTTCACCAGATGATTTAATGCGTGGCATGTGTTACTTGAAATGATAAACCTGATGATCTTTCAGTACCCACTCCTCTTCTCCAACCTCGCCTACCTTTTCTCCTCACTCCATCCCTGGTCACATGACCTCCCCGTTAACCAAACGGCATCAAGCACCTCACTCCTCCTCTCTCACCCATCAACCAATCGGTGTCGAGCCTTGCGACCACGCTTTCATCCAGACCTCATTTTTGGGCTTCACGAAATGCCGAACAGCTAGCCACTTTAAAATATCACTAAAAATTGATCGCCTGAATGTATCACCTCATGGTACTGAATACACACATAGAACTACAAATCGCGGAGTATTGTGTCCGCGAATTATTCTCGAAATTGAGACTTCGCGAAATTGGCGAAATAGCGAGTCTGCAAAAATAAAGTCGTCTGCAGAAACCTACTCCTCGGAGTAACGACACTTGTACTGCCTTGGCACTTTAAATCATTGTTGCTAGTGATCTGAAACATTATCCAAAATCGGCGGATGTTGTTTCCCGTCCTCCAGAAACGTTCAAATAGTCCGCGACGGGGCAAAACGATATCGCCCGAGTCTCTTGACGCCGTATCCAAAGCTCGGGAGGTCGCATTTTCCTCCTGTAACTGTCGCCAGTTGTGCCCGTTCTGCGCTAGGCACCAAAATGGCAGCGACTATGAGACAGCCGGGGAATGGGGTGCCGATGCCGTATGCGTAGCCCAATCAGTGGCTCCAGGCTTGAGCTGCAACATTGGGAGTGAACGGCGTTTGCGTCTCTTTCGTTGCGCTTCAGTGCCGCGACGACGGACGAAGACCGTCAGCACCTGCAGGAGGTCGGCCAGTTCCACCTGGGCGAGTTTGTGAACATCTTCAGGCATGGATCTCTAGTGATGCAGCACCCCGGCGAAGCCTCGTCCCCCACCCAGGGATCGGTGCTCTTTGGAACCATTCACGGTGCCATTGGTGAGTTGAGAGTTGAGTCCGCAAGTTGAGTACTAAGGTGTTGGCTAAATTCAACATTACTTTGTTGGATTTCATCACCATTGTGTCCTTGTCTTGTTTCACACTCTGTTGTCAGCCTAGCAGCTTGGGGTCTGATTACTGTACATTTTTTTTGTGCTCGTCTTTGACACTACTTCAGGATTGGTGGGTGATGCTGTAGTCGCAGGGTGTCGGTGGCATCATCTAAGAGCTCCCAAACCTTGCTGTCTTCAACTGCATTAACTTAGTCATTAGTGATACCTGTTTTTTAAATGTGTAAATAGTCTTTATAGAGTAATACACCATCCTTATTGTTAGTGTTTTTATCTATAAATTCATTTTGAATGTTGCCAATGCGACCCCTAAAGGGCTTGAGCTTTCTGTAACATTTCCTTGACACGCAAACACTTGCTCAGTAGAAGCATCTTTTTATTGCACTGCATGCTTGGAAGACGATTGGCGAAGCAGAGTGGTGCTGTTACTTCAAACTCAAAGTGTGCCGCAGTGTTGTTCGCAATCACCTAATCCCAAGGACTTTTTTGTTTTGTTTTAGGTTTTTATGAAAAATTGGCAGTGAACTTTACCTTCAAAGTCCTCTAATGCATGAAATGCATTATAGAAAATGGGTGTGTCACGTGACATATATTTTCCCGCTAATTTTAGCGGAGAGACTGAATGATTGTGTAGTAGGTCATGTGACATTTATTTTTAGGGGCGAAGTTCCTTAGGGTCTAGCCTTGTCCGTCCGGCGTCCGTGCTCACATCAATCTTGCTGGTGCTTGTGCTCGTGAGCTCACGTGCTCACGTGGTCGTGTACGGCAAAAAATAAAAATAAAAAATATATTATGAAGAAAAAAAGATGTTTGCGCAGTCTCCGCACAGGATTCGAACCTGTGCGGAGAGACCCCAATGGATTTCTAGTCCATCGCCTTAACCACTCGGCCACGGCTGCGGGACGAGTAGGGGGCTCTGAGATGTGGTAGTAACTCAAGAGCTGGGGATGTCATGGATGAAACGTTGCATGTAGTCACTCAACGTCTATACAGGAGAGGGTGCTGCGGTCAAATGCGAATATAATCGCATTAAACTTTGCATGCATTGGCTCCACATTTATAGACGAGAGGGCGCTGCGGTCAAATGCTCAAATGCGTATATATGAACAAAAACAGTATCATCAGCACCAGGGGCGGATGCAGGAATTTCCTGAGGGAAGGGTCAGGTGTTGGTCAGCGTACCATATGTTTAAGAACCCCCTCCCACTCTCCCTTGTTTTCACGCCCTAAATTTTACACATGCAGAAATTAAGAGGGGGGTCAGGACATCCGGACCCCCCTTTAGATCCGCCCCTGATCAACACCACCAGAGCTTCGCCCCAATCAACATCATTCACCACGTGGAGATGCGGTCAATCTTTTCTGCTAATTTAGTGGGGAAACTGCATTGGTGTTTAGGTCACAAGACGTGAATTTTCCCGCTAAATTTAGTGGGTAACTGAATGGGTATATAGGTCACGCGATAGCGATTTCCCGCTAAATTTAGCAGGGAAACTGAATTGATGTGGAACCTGAATTGATGTTTTGACCATGAGTCACGAATTTTCCATTAAATTTAGCTGGGAAATGGAGTTGACGTATAGGTCAAGTGCTGTCAATTTCCCCAAAGTGTATAGGTTACATGCCGTCAATTTCTCCAAGGTGTATAGCTTACGTGATGCCACTTTCCCCGCTAAATTTAGTGGAAAAAGCATAAACAGATGGGCAAACCAAATTTTAAAATTGGGGTTCAAAAGCATTTCATGCTTTAATAAGCTAATTTCTCGTGCCTTCTCTGGTGCCTTATTTTTTCTGGTTCGTGTGTCTCTCCTTCGTAGGGCTGGTCGCGCAGCTGCCCTCTGACTTCTACAACTTCTTGCTCGAAGTCCAGGGCAACCTAACCAAGGTCATCAAAAGCGTTGGCAAGATCGACCACACCTTATATCCTTTCGTGCAGTCCGAGCGACCCAGGCTCGTGTCGTTCGAGAGAAAACATTGGTTCTAATCTGAAAATGACTTTGAAAGAACTTTGGTAAGGTGGTTACTGCAGGTATACGTAACTCCTACGTCATTTGGTGCAGTTTCAAATGTTTTTTTTAGTGCACTTTGATTTTTTTATTTTCCAACTTTTCTAGAGGGTGATCGCTTTTTTATTGTACTCATGCCTAGTGCTCTCGTTTGTGCCATGAAATACATGGTTGTCTGAGGGTATAGTTGTTGCACCCTGCAGACAGTGTTGCAACAAGTTTTCGTTGAGCCAACGTTGCCTGCTGCAGCTCTGGTTTCTGTTAGTGTGATGGCTGGGGTTGAAGCACGATTTAAAGTACTATTTTAACTTCGCAAAAACAAAAAGGTGAATAGGAACCTTTCTATAGTAGAATGAGATTTTTCTTGTTTCTTAAGGGGAGACACTGCCCAAAAAAAAATATTTCTGCAAAAAAAGTTGATTTTGAAAAATGACATCTTTACATCCACCAACATCTAGAGAGTATTCCCAAAAAGTTTCATTAATTTTCACTGTATAGTTAATTTTTTATAAATTATTTTCTGTCCACCAAAGCTATAGAAAAGGTAGGGTTTGGAGCACTTCGAACACATTTTTCTCCGTTCCACTTTTTGGTATAAATTCCATTTTAGTCAATCTATCGTTTGATAATGGCAAAACAGGGAAAGCTCATTTTTCCCTTTTCCTGACTGAAATTTAATAAGGAGTGCGGCTATGGAACTTTTTTGTCACTTTACGAATGTCTTTTGTAAAAAATGTTGACATTTTGTCGAAGGCACAGAAGACCAAAAAGTTCACCAATTTTGCAGAAGAGAAAATTTATAGAAATGAATTACTTTTTAGAAAAAATGTTCCATAGCCGCACCCTCTAGGCATTCTGCTACGTATCTAGTAAATAAAAATCTTTAATATCGCAATAGTTTTCTAGCGATAGATTAACTAAACAACGTAGGCGTGTTGCTGATAGAAGCTACTCTTATTTCCTTCTCATTTAACCGACAGACCTGAAATTTTGTTATACACCCTCTAGCATGACCACCAGCCTACCCTGTAAATTTCATTAATTTTAAGACGAGGGTTCAAAAGTTGACCCCCCTAGGGGGTGTGCCCCCTTAATTTAGCTCCTAGGTTCCAGGTTTTTTTATACTTTATCTTTGGCAAAATCTGGAGCTTATTGCAGCTTTGTTTCGACAAATCCCCAAATCTCTGAAATTTGGAAGCTCACAGATGCAAAAGAAAGCTCCCTTATTGTGAGTAGTATTTATACCTACTGTGGGCAGCATCAGAACTACTAAGTTGTTACATGACTTCTGGTCATCATTACTTCAAATATATTGAAGTTCTTCTCAGGAATCTGTAATTGACGTAAACCCTACCTGTGAGCGTTTTTCAAATTCTTTGAAATTGACACAAAGTTCTCTACGTCAACAAAGAAAAAGTATGGGAGCAGTAACGGACGTGGCTCGGTTTATCGGGACGACCTGCTTTTTCGCCGCGAGTCGACTTGCGGGAAAGCGTCCTTGACAAAGACTGTTCACCTGGCGTTCTTTCTCGACGGAGCGGAAGACGGAGCAAGCGCAAGGGTTCATTGACGGCGACCTCATCGAGAGTTTTCTTGACCTCAGTCGAGACAAAATGCAAGAAGTTCTTCAGGGAATACAGGTGAGGCTGCATTGATATCTTTTTGCGGGGGCAGACTTGTGATGGCATTTTCCTAGCCAGCTTGTAAAAGTTGTGCCCTCCCTGTAAAATTTTCAGAAATGAATTGCTTTAAATACATGCATAGACATATTATATTATGTAATTTCCCAGGTGCGTTTTAGAATTGCACAAATCAGAATTTGATACGCTGGATTATAAACTTAAGTAGGGTTTCCAGTTGGTTCAGGCCTAGTGATGTAGCTAGGCCATCCACCCGAGGCCTTTATGTCTATTGTACCCTCCCCCCCCCCCTCAATTCACTACCCGAGATTGCAACCAACCTGGGGGAGGGAGGGGGGGGAAGAGACCACCAGAGCTGGCACCCCCCCATGTGACTGGGACGCCTGGTACCCAGGCCCCGTTGATATGCCACTGTTCAGGCCTGTCTTCCAAAGCAAGACAGTTTTTTTTGCAGCTGACACGAAGATGACTGTGAAGCTCACTCGAACAGTGAATGTCATAAAGCGGTGTCACATACAGTCGCCGAATGATTTTTCGGACTTCGTAGGGATCGAAAAAAAGAAAACATCCGAATTATAGAACAGTTTGAAAAATGAGCGGATTAAAAAACTTGCCTTTATTATGCATAAGCGGGCTTAAAAAAGCTGTCAATAGTGCCTTGCTTCAAATTACGCCTCCACTTGAGTTCGGCAACTTCCTCTTGGCTTGAGAATCGCTGCCTTCTTTTCTAGCATTACGGTCAGGTACTTTCCGCGCTTCTTAGCAACACTTCGCAGCGGAGGAAGAACAGATGGGGCCATGACGTCCAAGCCAGCGTTGTCCGAAAATACGATTCACCAAGAAGAGACGATAGGTGCAAGTCCACGACTGCAGAATGGCGAATGAACAAAAGCAATATGATAACAATGATAATGAAGCTCAGCTAGATAAAAAAAAGCTGTTGCGTGGCATCACCTAGTGGTAGGACTTGGCAGTACTGAATTAGCGCTACCATACCAAGCCAGTCCGTGTGCCACCAACCTAGAATCTAGAATGGCGGCTTCTCGGTGCTGTTTCTCGCTGATCGCTCGCGACGATTTCGTTTGAAAAATTTAACTTTCGGACTTCAAGCTGTCCGAAACTTCGGTCATAAATATGCACTTACCTACTTGTATTAGGTAGGTCACGGTTCTTCCTTCACTTCAGAAATATCAAACTAGTCAGAATCATCGGCGTCCAAAAAATCAATCTGCGACTGTATCTCTACCCAGTCCACTTTTTAGGGAAATTTTAGAGTTTGTCTTGTTCCTACTTGCTGTGGTATTACATTCAGTCAGTCATTATTAGTTCATGCGAAGCGTCCCGATGTTTGAACGACACCTTTCGTTGTTTTCTTGTCTAGATGGACGACGGTAGCGGCATGAAGAGGGACGCCACCGTCGACGATTTAATCAAGATCATAGAAGAGCTGAGCAGAGTTCACTGAGTTTCATTTTTCACCCGCGTTTGCATCGCGCATCTTCCCATCTCGTCATCCATTATTACGTACGTTTGCATCCGCGCCTTTCCGGAACTCCGCCCGTTTTGCCGAGGAGTTCACAAACTGTGACCGAATTTCTTTGCTTGCTTTTCTGTCTTCTCCTTCCGGTCTGAAGCCGCTTGGTTTGTCGGTTTCTTGCTTCTAATGTCATTACTTCGCGAGTCGGCCGAGTCTGAAGCTCACCCAGGTCAATTATGAAGCCACTTAGTCGCAATTTTTTCTCAATTCCTCGAAGTCATTACACAAACTTCATGTCGCGTGCATCAGGCCGACAGCAACATTAAAAGAATGTTAAAATTATGTGGCACGGTTTCGTCGGAAATAGAGTCTCGACAGAAACAAGAAGCTAACATTTTGTGCGTCTGTAGAGATTGCAGGATATGTTTGTAAACAATAATGTACAGTTTTCGTTTTGTTGTTGTTGATTTCTGTCTAACTCGAATTACCTGGCCTAACCTTTTCATTTTCTTTCTAGAGCGATACCATGGACGTACTGAAATAAAGAGTACTTTATACATATAAAAAAGTCAGATGTTCATTGCCTTCGTAAAATGTGGAATATGATGAATTTTGACTTTAGAACTAATCAAGCTGTCGGTTGCTACGCACAAGAGATCATGGCTCTGCTAAACGCAGTGAATATGTAAGACTGTGATTGCCTAATTTATTTTATGTCTTTTGCATTTACATTTTTAAGTGGAGCAAGGTGCAGTCATTTTGGTACATAGCAGGATCTGCAGGACACAACACAGTGTGCGTAACCAAGTGACTATCAGGGTGTGCCACTTCTCTAAACATGAGGAACCTATATTTCACCTCTACTGCAAGTATTTGAGATTTAGAAGGTATCTGCATCTCTCATCACTTTGATTGCACATCAGTTGGTAAACATTGGCTTCGTAGATCACCAGCGGGATAAAATGATACAATGGGGAAACATTTTATTCTTTTACACGACTGCTTCAGATTGTTGATATACACTCACGTTTGGGCAAGTTTTGTAATAAAGGTCCTGGGTTCAAATACAAAAATAGCTTCAAAATTATATTGGGCACTGCTCTTTGCTGTAAGAGATTGTTTGACTAGTACCTAATGCCAACGTAAAAGGTGAAGGGTTCTCTTTGAGTACACTTGTGTAAGGCTGGGGCTGTTCCGAATCATTGCAAGTTGTCAAGGAAGCATCAATTGAAAGGAGATTCGGGGACTATTCTTACCCGAAATCCGACAACTATTTTACATTTCATGCAATATAGATGTCGTCCAGATAATTTGTAGTTTAAAAAACGCTCAACAAAAATGATGCAGCAAAGAAGCTACAGAGGTTGGCAAGGGTGCATAACTTAATGCTATCATAGTGAAGTCTTGAGAGTTGTGGTTGTTTACACATATGAAGATGAAAAGCTGTTCTATTGTACAAGCTGCACTAAGCAGCATCTAAAAACTTTGCAGTAGTTAAAAGTGCTACTCTCATAGGGCGCCATGGCTCATCTATACAACCAATATTGGTAGGCAGTTCTGCACACAACCATTGTAAACATTTGAGAACCGACAACACACACGTTTCAAGACGAAGTTAGGTCTACCTGATGACTGCGTTACATCATGGTCAGCCAATCGAAAAAAAACACAGGCACTAGACATTCCTACTGGCCCCACGTGGTGAGCTCGAGGTTCTTTCAAGTGGCAATGGTGATCGGAGCCCCGTTCAAAAGTTCAAGGTCTCGCGGCAGGGGATGGAAGAAGCTGTACACGAGCCTGTAGTGTGACACGTCTTCCGGCTGAGCCATCACCGTGTCCAGAAACTGTTGGATGTCTCGCTTGCGCTTGAGAGCAAGGGACTCGTCCCCTTCAGTGCTGAAGACACTACCTCTCGAGAGTGGGTGAAAGTCGCAAGCGGGAAACTTGCGACTCATCTTGGTGTACAGTTCGAGGAAGTTCTTGTAGGTCCTGATGACCGACTGCGCCGGTGGGAACTCGCGTTCCACGTTGACAACATAGACGTAGTAGCGCTCGGGATGGTAGCGCAGCCTGATGTCCTCCACAGTCAGCTGCACAATCTTCCCCTCGGCAGCAATGCTGAAGTCACGGGGGTTGAAGGAGAGCCTCAGCGCGCACTCCCTGGTGTTGGCTCCCAGGCTCGCCAGGTTGTGGATGAAGAAGTTGAAGCTGGTGGCGAGGGTCATGACGCTCTCGCGGATGCGCTTCTCAAAGTGCCGCGCCGCCTGCTCGTCCGTCGCCTCCAGCGACATGGACCGTCGCAGGTATGCGAGCGCGTCCTGGTCGACGTCGGGCAGCCCCGAGTGCTTCATGATGCTGAAGAGGGCGAGAAAAAGGCTGGAGTTGCGTCGCAGGACGTTGTAGGCTTCGCAGCAGAGTCTCACAAACTGTGCCTCTCCGCCGTTCCTCCGGATGACGTAGACCATGTCTTGCGTGAGTGCAAACGGAGCCCTGTCTCTCCTGATTCCCCCAAACGTCTCGGCATGGCCCAGGACCTTCGAGAAATCAATGTGCAGCATGTGGCCCGACGTGGCCAGAAGGATGTTGTCGTTGTGGCGGTCGCCGACGCCCAGGACGTATGTGGCGACGCAGCAACCGGCGCAGGACTTGATGAAGTTGTCGACAGCCGCCTGGTACTGCGGCCTACACGAGTTGTGTTTCCAAAGCCAGTCGGCAATTGTCCTGTTGCTGAACGCTCCCGTGACGCCCGAGTGATTAGTCTGGATGGTCCGTAGCGTCGACACATCCCGGACGGCTTCGAGGAAGCCTCTGCTTTCTCCCGTTGTTGTGCACTTGAACGTGAGCATCTTGAGGTCCATTCCGCTCTCCAGCCAAAGCTTGTCCATGAGGCGAATCACGGTGAGTATGAGAACGTCTTGACGGAGGTCGTCGCCAGCCTTGTAGATTGTTTCAATCTTTTCGGCAGCTTCTTCGGACGACCGGAAGACAAGCTTGACGGGCAGTGTCTTGGAAGGAAACACGCAGCAGGTGTCCACATCGACGGACTCGACGCTTATTGCCGGGTCCAGAGGTAGCCTCAACTTCAGCACCTGCAAAGAGCTGTTGAGCTTGGCAAGCTCTCTTCGCATCACCTCCTCTTTTTGTGAGTCGGCTGCTTGCTTGACGCTCCGCGCGGTTTCGGCTAGCATTTCATCTGCGACGATCTGCGTCAGGAGGCTGGCCGTGACCTTCTCTCCTGCTACAAAGAAGAGGGCCTTCCGCATGATCAGCGCCCTGTCCCTCATGAGCGGTTCGTTGATCATGCCAGTGAGCCACCAAAAGAGCTGATGAGCGAGGCGGACGCTCTGCCGGGCCCTCCTCAGGAGGAACGTGGCCAAGAAGGAGTCGTCCCAATTTTGGAACCTCAGAGACTCGACCAGCTGCGCAAGGTAGAGGGAGAGCTCGTCACTGCCGACGCTTTGCAGGGATTGCACCGCATACTTCTTGACCAGGCTGTCTGGGAAGGCGGGGGAGAGCAACGTAAGCGACTCTTCCGGACTGAGTGGACACCAAGACCGCACCAGGGTGTAGGTCTCCTCAATGTTTGCTGAATTCCAGCATACCGGGAGCTTCAGCAAATGAGGCAGCAAGCTTGAGAAGTCACAGAGGTGGTGCCGGTGCTCCCAGATCAGGTCGCGAACATAAGTGGGCAAGGGCGTGGAGACATCAGTTACGGTCAGGTCCAGGAAAGTTTGCTGCACGTCGGCACTGAGTTCATGAAACGGCTTTCTGACAACTTCGCGCACGTTTCTGGTGATGGATTTGGCGAGGACTGCCTGGTTCTTGACATGTGGCAGTGTGACTAGCAAACATCCTTTGTTCTGCTCGCTTGCGGAAACGGGACCGCGTGTCGACAGCATTTCAGGGGACCATAGGCCAAGGAGGAACTCGCCTCCATTGAAGTGCTCTCGGTCTGCAAAGATGTTCAGACCTGTCCAACCAAGGACGTGATCAGCTCCATCTCGGTGCCCAACGACCGTCAGATACATCCTCGTTTCTCGGGGAAGGGATCGAATCTGAATGTTTTTGAAGGAAATGTACTCGTCAAAGTTTACACATTGGAAAATTCTTTGCGTCACATACAACCGTCGTGTCGTCTGATAACTAAAGAGTCTTTCGCCGTAGGTTAATGCGCAGTCCACACTGTAGCTGTCATAGTTTTGGACCCAAGCTTTCTGCAGCTGAACCAGCATCTCAACCTTGGGGCTGAACAGTTCGTTAGCATCTACGGTGCGTCTTCGTCGTAAGCTCTCATCGAGAAACTCAACCGTGAATTCAACGCTACGCCTTTGAGAATGCATTGCAAGGAACCTTGCAATTGCAAGTTCAATGTCTTCAACAAACCGTGTCACAAGGAACACCTTTCTGGGGGCGTCGACACCATCTCTATTCTCTGACAGCGTGTCTCTGAAAAAATTTAAGAGGTCTGTAGTTGTCTGGTACAGTTCACTTGTCTCCGTGTGGTTCAACAACTGGCAAAGTTCTGTCACACTGGCTTTGATGTCCCCTGCTGCCTTGACGAGATCTCCGCCAACCGACAGAGCAACGCCTATGAGCTCTTCTACCTGGGACTCGAAAGTCTCCAAGGCATCCCTGACGGCAACAAACGTTATCTTCTCCGAGACATCAATGTCCAAATCACAACTCTCGCTGGTCACTAATGTCCATGGCTTCTGCACATTGTCCAGATTTACAATAGTCAACCAGGCCACTTTGCCGACACGTCTACAGGCGCAGATGTATGCATAGTCGCTGAGTAGGGTATCGTTGGACAAGTACTCATCGAGGCCGGTCACCTTGAAGACATACTTTCCGGGACTGCCCAGGAATGGCTGGATGCTTTCCACAAGGTAGCCCACCCTTGTAGCTGCCGGACAAGAGAAACACACTGGCTTATGGAGTTGTTCAGAGAAGATTTTGAGCTTGACGTCGAATGTTTCTTCCGAGTTGTTTTGCAACGTAGGGCTGATGAGAAGCCCCGAATAAGGACTGTCTTCTGGTTGCACGTCACACACGAGATGCTGCAGTTTCCTCAGGAGCCTCTGGCTGTGGTGGTTTGGCTGTTTCTTGACCAGCCTTGCCTGCACAAACTTGAAGAAGTGGGACATGGTTGGTGCTCCCAGACTGTCCAAGGTCGTCGCGGGCCGCAGCGGCCTCGCCAGCACCTTGTGCCTCCGGTAGCCTGGTAAGGATTGAAATTTTTTTGTTTTAGAATAGTTTGACACAAAGCATGTGGACAGTCACCATTAAACTATGAAATCTGGTTTATGGTAATTTTTAGCCCTGCCTTTATGGTTGATTTCTTCATGGCCAGTGTTACCGAATTGAGCTACTGTTCTGTCACTAGAAAAGCCTGAAATGGTTACATCTCGGTTGTAAGTTCTGGACTTTGGTTGGGGTTTGCTTTCTCCTTCGTTCTCTTTCTGAGAACAAGTAATTTTTGGGTCCCCTGTAGACTATAAATTCAGACTAACATTAAAGCTGAACAAGACAGTATGTTTAATAAAATTAATGATGCACAGTCTTTGCATCCTGAACATTCTTTTTTTAACCTACTTTATTTTGACGTGCTTAATCAATAATTTTGCTAAATGCCAGATTCTAGAATATTTATTTATTTATTTATACATACTGCCCGCTGCCATTTGGCAGCCAAGGCAGGAGAGGGCACACAGGGCAACACACAAGACGAAAACTATATTACATGCTGGTGAAAGAAAAAGCATCTAGGACTGCAAGAAATAACGCTGTAATGATGAGGCAAATTCCTGAACGGACGAGACATTGGAAATGCTGGCAGGGAGACTATTCCATTCGTTAATGGTTCGTTCGAAAAAGTTTTTTAAACATTGGGTTCTGCTGTAAGGTGTTACGGGATGTGTTAAATTGCATAAATCTGTCGAATGAAAGGCGAGATGATTCATGTACAATGGTAAACAAAAGCTTTAGACGATTAATTTTGCGCCGGGTTGAAAGAAGCTCAATTTTCGACCTATTGTACAAGTTAGTGATAGAACTGATTATTCTGTACTCGTTGTAAATGAAGCGCAGTGCTTTCTTCTGTACCCCCTCGAGTCGATCAATATTAAGTTTAGTCGCAGGGTCCCAAACAACATCAGCGTTTTCTAAAACAGGTCGTATTACTGTCGTGTAGTTTGCAAGCTTGGTTGCAGGGGTACTGTGCTTCAGCCGCCTCTTCAATGACCATAGCTTTGCTGATGCCTTCTGAGCAGTCCAGGATATGTGGCTATTCCCACTGAGGTTCGAGGAGATAATGACACCTAAGTATTTGAATTCGTGCACGACTTGTAAAGGGGAGTTTTGTATGCAATAGTTAATCCCAACGGTGACCTTTTGCGCGTTACTCTCATTTGTACACTTTTCGAGCTGCAGGTTTAGCAACATTTGCCATTCGTTACTCCATTGACACTTGTTGAAGCTATTTCAGTAAAAAGCACACAGTCCTCCGCAAAAAACCGGCAGTGTATACGCTCACCAACCGTCAAATCGTTTAGAAAAGCAAGAAAGAGCAGTGGGCCCAGCACCGATCCTTGTGGAATGCCCGAGATAACTGATATACAATTGAGGAACAAGCCCCATCTGCTTCAACGAACTGATGACGGTTGCTCAAGTAAGAATCCAACCATCGCAAGAGCTTATCGTTTCCTAGAATCACTCTTAGCTTGATAAGTAGTTTGCTGTGTGACACGCGATCAAAAGCCTTGGCGATATCTAGGAATACTACATTTATTTGCCCCCCCCCCCCCCCACCCTTTTTTTTTTTTTTTGTCAACGACTTTTGCAAGTTTATTTACTATATAAAGGAGCTGAGTTATCGTAGAGCAGCCACGCCGGAAACCATGCTGGCTCTCTGATAAAAAAAATTATTCGATTCAAAATGTGACACGAGATGACTAAATAAAAAATACTCTAGAATTAACCTTGCTGCACGAGCAGATCAAGGGAACGGGCCTATAATTCGATGCGTCATGTTTATCTCCTTTCTTATGAATGGGTATAACTTTTGCCACTTTCCACTGTTTAGGTACCACCCCTCTCTCTAGCGATCTGCTTTAAATTAGAAAAAGAAATTTAAAACACCCCCCAGCGCACCTTAAAAAAAAAAAAAGAATTTTGTCTGGACCGCAGACTTTTATGTATTCAAATTTAGTAACGCAGAGGAGATTCCCTCCTCTGATAGTTGTACGTCTGGTACGTGAGCGAGTTTAATCGAGAACTCAGGAACGAAGTTGTCACTTGTGGTGTACACAGAGGCAAAGTAGTCGTTAAATATCTTCGCGATTGAACTATTATCAACAAATTCTCTCCCATGATGAATGATCTTGTTAACTGAGTGTCTTGAACCCGATATATGCCTCCGAAACTTCTGGGGATCGTTACGAAGGAAGTTCGACATTTTAACGTTGAAATACTAATACTTGGAATTCTTAATGAATGTTCACAATTTATGACGTAAGGCAGTCAATTCTATTTTGTTTCCGCGTTTTCTGCTTTCCTTTTGATTTGTAAAATCTCCCTCGTGATCCATGGGTTATTCTTTTTAGTTCGCTTCCTACGATCGATGGCACAAACCTGTATATACACGTGTGCACCGCATTTTGAAAAGTGCACCATAGTTCGTCTACATCACATCCCGGAACTGAAGCCCTATCAGCAAATCTGTCGAACGATAGCTCGATACTTTCGTCTT